TAATTTGAACGGGTACATAGACACACATAAATGGGTTCAGGAACTGAAACCGCAAAATATTCGTATAGGTAAGCAAGTTACATATCATTGATGACCTAGTTGCATAGATTGTTAACATATACATCAATATATATGCAGGTTTTATTAGTATATATTATAATCTTATTAAAGTCTCAAACCTATCTTGAAAGGAAGATTTCAGAATACACAAAGTTCATTAACCTACAATATTGAACAGCTGCAGAACTTGACAAGTCAGCTCAGTTCAGCGTCCTAAAATGTTAGAACTTATGCTGTTTAGTCAAAAGTCTCAGTATATCCTATCGGACCTCAAAATTTCCCGTTTTCAATAATTGAATTATCCCAAATAGCCACAAATTTCGGAAAAGTTACTAAAGAACCAAACCAATTCTCTACAAGCAATCCTAGGCCTAATACTTGTTATCTTAGGGCCTAATATATATATATATATATATATATATATATATATATATATATATATATATATATATATATATATATATATATATATATATATATATATATAGGCCTGGAAATGTGTATGTTTGGTTTCTAACGCTTTTATTTTCAGTCTCTCTAAAATAGGACACAGAACCCTAGGCCTACATTCAAAAGAAGATTTATCAAAGAAAACGAACATCTCTCCAAGCACGCGAAGGTGAACTTATTCTTTCGCGCGAAAGTGAACACAGCTCCAGGCGCAAAGGTGAAGTCACTCTTAGCCGCGAGAGTGCACAAATCCCCCGGCACAAAAAATGAAAGTGTCAGATTCAGAGAGCTCATGTGTCATCACTTTCTCGCTCATATTCTCCTGCCTCAGAGCACCAGGAGAAGTTCTCACCTGGTTTAGAGACGCTGAGAGGAGTTCTCATCAAATTTGGTCGCATGTAATAGAACTCGGAGGTGTGTGTCGTGTTTGTGCCAAAGTAAAAAAAATGGATGCGTGAAGCAGAGAGCAACGGCCATTGCGTGAAGCAGCAAGAGAGTCAGCGTCGTTGCGTTAAATACCGAAAGACCTGGGGGTCGTTGCGTAAAGCAAGGAGAGTGCCAGGGTCGTTGCGTGAAGCAAGGAGAGTGCCAGGATCGTTGCGTGAAGCAAAGAGAGTGCCAGGGTCGTTGCGTGAAGCAAAGAGAGTGCCAGGGTCGTTGCGTGAAGCAAGGAAAGTGCCAGGGTCGTTGCGTTAAGCAAAGAGAGTGCCAGGGTCGTTGCTTGAAGCAAAGAGAGTGCCAGAGTCGTTGCGTGAAGCAGCGTCATTATCCACCCATAAGCCTTGAATCACAGTCATCACCATCATAAACACACTGTCACTATATATACGGTATCTAAACTACCCAACAAAAGCCCATCTAAATTTAACAAAAATTCTTTACTGCTATTCATAAAATAGATAATAAGGATAAAACATGACAAAATGAATAGATTCTACGTGATAAAACGGACCTAATATCGGATCTAAGTTATTTTCTATTTAGTAATTTGTAAGTAATTATTTACTATTAAGTAATTAACATTACTATTAAGTAATGCTATCGACTATTTAGTCTTTTGCAGCGATGTATGGTCCAATTCTTTAAGCATCTTTAAACAGAAAAGATGAAAAATGAACGCGAGGCTTTCTATCTAGTCGTATGTTGTCTTTGGATGGAACTCTTTCTCCCGCGAACCCGTAGGAAGAATTCGCGCTAGGCTTTAGATCTGGGTGTTTCCCGCCCTGGGGAAGAGCCTAAGCATGTTTCCATTCCTGGGCCTGAGGATCAACTCGCCCAAGAGCTGGAGCTCGTCTCGACAGGTGTCGCTCTCAACACGGAACTTTCTCAAGACGGTGCTGAGGACAATCTTCTCCTCCAACATGGCGAACTTCTGACCTGCAGATATTAAAACACAGTCAAAAGGCGTTAACGTGTCGACAGTGAATCGTTTAGCATTAAAGACAACTCGTATAACACAATATTTAGCGTGTAGAGCAAGACACTGGGAAGAGTTCAAATTTGTAAACAGTTTAACAATGTTTTTTGATTGGTAAACCATCAAATTTGTTTTGTTGTTTAAAGCTAATATATATTTTCATTGTATATACTGTGTGTGTGGGTGTGGGTGTGGACTCACCTAATTGTGCTTGCGGGGGTTGAGCTCTGTCTCTTTGGTCCCGTCTCTCAACCGTCAATCAACTGGTGTACAGGTTCCTGAGCCTATTGGGCTCTATCATATCTACACTTGAAACTTGTATGGGGTACTTCTCCATACACTTGTATGGAGTCAGCCTCCACCACACACTTCCTGTGTGTGTGTGTGTGTGTGTGTGTGTGTGTGTGTGTGTGTGTGTGTGTGTGTGTGTGTGTGTGTGTGTGTGTGTGTGTGTGTGTGTGTGTGTGTGTGTGTGTGTGTGTGTGTGTGTGTGTGTGTGTGTGTGTGTGTGTGTGTGTGTGTGTGTGTGTTTTGTGTGTGTGTGTGTGTGTGTGTGTGTGTGTGTGTGTGTGTGTGTGTGTGTGTGTGTGTGTGTGTGTGTGTGTGTGTGTGTGTGTGTGTGTGTGTGTGTGTGTGTGTGTGTGTGTGTGTGTGTGTGTGTGTGTGTGTGTGTGTGTGTGTTTTGACGTGCATACGCCCCCAGCAGCCACCCACCAATGCAGTTCCTGGGACCGGCGCTGAAGGGCACGAAAGCGTAGGGGTGACGCTTGTTAGCGTTCTCTGGCAGGAAGCGATCAGGGTCAAACACCTCCGGGTCCGGGAACTGTTTGGGGTCACGGTATTAACTGTACACTAGGGAAGAGTTATTGATTGTAATTAGGGGGACCAAGTAGAATTAACAAACCCATCTCATTATCTGCACATAAGCTAATCAGAATATTGAGCAAGTATATTACTGACATAATATATATATACTTGCTACATATTCCTCAGGCTTATTTTTTAAATTTGAAATGCATTATGTATAAGTTGTTAAGAATGTCTATCGTTTTCCTTTCATGAGGCTGTGATTTGATGTCTTTGATGGTGTATATGTTTAGTATAGCAATATTAGAATTAATAATAATTCGTTATGTCGGGGACAGGAAGTGTGTGTATAGAATATACTTTAGGCTTGTATCCAGGTCACCTACGAGGTCACCCGGCAAGGTCGAACTATTGACCTTACCCAGACTTCAACACAAGAGTTAACCAACTCCCGAATACCTATTCACTGCTAGAAGACAACCTATCCTCAGGGGACAACCTATTATCTACTTCCTATCCATGGTTAGGTTAGGTTAGATTAGAATTAGGCTAAGTTAGGTTAGGATTGGTTAAGCTAAATTAGGTTAAAATAGCGTTTTGTTCTCAAACTTGCGAAAAATTGAAATTAAAAAACTATTTGAGTTTCCCCAAAACAATTTATTAAAGAAAACTTTAGCTATAGGTATTTAAAAGAAAACGTTTAACCGTAAACTCCTTTATTTTAAATCATCAATTTAATTATAACTTTTATATTACAATGCAGTTATAACTTGATAATATTCCATGTTTAGTACAAAAAATCTACTTTTCAGTTTACACAAAGACTATTACTGAACTGAAATATGCCTTCAGACTATCACAAATTATCTAAGATAACTATCCACGTAATGTGTCCCGGTCTAATCACTTTACCCTGAGAATGGGCTGCTAGGTAAACAGAGGCATTAGGTGAAAGGAAACGCGCCCAACCATTTCTGTCCCACCTCGGTAATCGAACCCGGAAACCCCGATAATTTAGTCGAGAGTAAAACCAACTGTATTTGAAACTTTTGGCAAGAGGCGTCATCACTTTTATGGCTATCCATTGTCAGAGGCGACCCACAACAGTCGACTAACTCCCAGGTACCTGTTCACTGTTAGAGGGGAAACAGAGGCATCAGGTGAAAGAAATCACCCAGCTCGGGAATCGCCCGCAGGGTAGTTAGTGGATTATCGAGCGCAGTAGTCTACGTCCGCGGTTCACAACCCAGGATTCCGAGTTCGATCCCAGGGCATAACAGAGACATTTTTGGCACGGTTCATTTCACCTGAAGCGTCTGTTCACCTAATATTAAAAATGTGAATTATTATGCAAATTATTATGCATATATGTGTGCTAAATTTAATAAATAAAATAGGATATGAAGTACAGCTGATATGTAGGATTATACCGGAAAGACGACTTAAAAATTTCAGGGTGTGTTTCCCCAGATAACTTGATAACTTCTAATAACTTGAAATTGTGCCTATTTTAAGATCTTTCTTTTAAGAGAGAAAGAGAGAGCAGAAACAGCCAAAATCGTGCCGATCTTAAAATAGGCACAATTTCAAGTTGGGAGAATTAATCTGGGGAACACACAATGAAACCCACTCATTCATTATTTCACATATTACTAAATTAGTTGATGAGGATATTAAGCACATATATATAATTCCAATAAGTTAGGCTAGTTAACCTGATGAACATAATTGATTTAATAGACCCGTATATCAATCACGGATCAATAGATCAACACGTTCATTGTCCCAGGTCTTTTAAATGGCAAGATAAAATGCATTATATTTGAATAAAGATGTTATATTATATTAGACAATTGCAAACTGAAGGGAGAAATAAGAGATATCAGTTTCAAGTTGGGGAGTCGAGAGGAGACGTTGAGCGCCAAGCTTGCCGTGGCTTATGAAGGGGAACTCATATAAAACTCACACAGGGGCATTCATCAACACATCTTATTGATAGATAAACGCGTTTATCATTAACTCAAATAATTAATAAACTGAACCTTAACATTAAAATATTTATTGATCGAGCAAAAATAACAAATCCGATTATCGATATATCATTTCAAAGTATCGATAGCTACTGACTTGTAGTTGAATCAGATGTATAATTGATTAATAAATTACTTAGCAAATATAAATAAATCTAGAGCGTTGGTATTCACGCTAGTGTTTAGGGTTAAGGGTTAAAGGTTAAGTAAGGAGAGGGAGTATAAAGTTCCTATCCCCCCCTCCCCCAGCCACACAAACATAAGGTGGCCATCAGACCGGCGTCGCCATCACGTGTGACCAAGAACTCCAATTCGTCTAGTTTTGTCCCTTGTCTCGACACACACACGCCAGGTAAAGGGAGGAGGACAAACACAATTTTGTTTTCTTTCCGTAGTTACCATAAATAAGTGTTTCTTGCCCTTAGGGCCCCGAGTGGGAACCATTTTTGGGTCCGGGAGGAGTGTCGAGGGGCCCCCGTCTTTGGGGGGGGGGGGGAGTCATTTGCTCATGTTAACTCGCTATTATTACAATTTGAAGGATGTTTGGGGCCCATTACGCTATGGGAAATGGCAGACGCCTCGTTTATGCATTGCATTTGATGACTATGGTGGGGGTTTGCGGGATATTGTCGGCGTAGCGCGAGATTTGATGTTTGAAGAGAGAAATGCCATTTTGGAGGCAGTTGATGGCGTGTGTGTGTGAGAGCATAGGAGCGTGGGGGAGCCCTGAGCTGCTGTGCCCTGGCTCCCTGGCACTCCTAGGGGCACAGGGCCAGGGATACGGGTACTGGAGGGGGGATATTTGTAGCATGTACCCTGCTGTACCCCCCTGAGCGCTGGGAACACTGATAGCGTGCTAATGTAGGCTCCGTCGCCAACCTTTTCGTCCATAAATTATTATTTTTTTAACATTAAATGTATTTATCTTTGGGTTTGGGTAGATTTTGTTATATACTGCCTCGTGGGGAAAATAGGCCTGCTTTTTGTGGGGAAAATAGGCCTGCTTCTTGTGGGGAAAATAGGCCTGCTTCTTGTGGGGGAAATAGGCCTGCCTCTTTTGGGGGAAATAGGCCTGCCTCTTGTGGGGAAAATAGGCCTGCCTCTTGTGGGGGAAATAGGCCTGCCTCTTGTGGGGAAAATAGGCCTCCTGCAGCAGCTGTAGTGGAGGTTGTATAATGGTAAAAGTGTTGGTACAGTGCTTTGTGTAACTAAGTGACCTGTATCCATGTAACTACACAGTACACATGTTACTTTAGGCACCTATTTTTTTAAGAGTTGACTATAAGTTAGGTCATCTTGAGATGATTTCGGGGCTTGGCATCCCCGCGGCCTGGTTCTCGACCAGGCCGCCTCCTTGTTACGCATCCCCAGGAAGCGGCCTGTAGCAGCTGTGTGACTACCAGGTACCTATTTACTGCTAGGTGAACAGGGGCATAAGGGGGTGAAATAAACTGCCTGTTTGTTTCTGCTTCTGCTGGGGATCGAACCCGGAACCTTAGGACTACGAAGCCCGAGCGCTGTCCACTCTGCCGTCAGGCCCCTTGGTAGTAATTGCTTATTAAATTAATCATTGAGTGAGCCTATGAACTATACTATATGTACTTTTTATACACTCTGGGCATAATAGATGGGGTTACTTGGAAACATAAGCAGCCTAACAAGGTCTCGGCAATAATATAGTAGTGTCCAAATATTGCACCAAGTTTGTTTTAAAATCTTGGGCCAACGAGTAGTTTATCAAACATGTATTTAGTGACCTGTATACAATACAAGGTTAGGGTTGGTTTGATGCGCTGGGAGCTGTATAGCATTTCATATTGGCGAACAGGCAGCCTGTGTGTATATATATACACTTGTACATATAAGGCTTATTGCAAGGTCCTCCCTACCCCAAGGTTGAACTATTAACCCTTCCCAGGATGCAACTCATAGCTGAATAACTCTCAAATACCTAATTACTGCTAGGTGAATAGAGGCATTAGATAGGAAACGTGCCCATTTGTAATCAACTGCGGAATATTATAACGATCATCAGATATACTTTGGTTGACGTGTGCTTTTCTTTTTCCAGGATGCCAGCCAATAGGAGGAGATTTAGCCCCAATTCTTCCGGTGGAAATTATCGATCAAGGTATACCTTTTCTCTTGGTTGATAAGGTTTGAGTTTGCATTTTGTTGTATTTATATTAACTACGCCATAAATTGTTGTATTAGGTCTGCATTGTGAATTTAAATGGTACGGAATAAATGAGGGTTATATCTTGTGCTGCATCGAGAAGGTTCGAGCCATCACTTGGCAGGGGTGTAGTTAAATTATTCAAAAGATTATACAAGGTTCGTTTTCTGTTAAAACCTTGTATATTTTAGGTTAAGATATCAACACAGATATCTTAACATTGGTACTTTAACCCTTGTATGGCGCCAGGCTATTTAGCATTTGTCACCCACAGGCGCATACCCAAAAAAAATAAAAGAAAAACAATTTCTTCTAAACCTGTTAATTTGTGTTCACTGGTCATGGGAAAAATAATACAAAAATCGTAAGTGGCATATATTGCCTGCTATAGGGTGGGGAAGTCTGGCAAAAAACAGGCGCCGACTCAGCATGCGTCCCAGATGGTCTGTTGCTCGCCAGCTGTCAGGCAGGAGTGGCCACAGAGATAATTACCTAATTATTTCAATGTCTCTGATTGATTTTTTCGTAGTTTTTTGCTGTAATATTATTCAATAGTGTGTAGTGATATATTTATATAATAAAATGAGTGAATCATCGCTGTACTGAAAAATATGGTGTGCATATTGTTGATTCAATTATGTTCATCAAACAGTGAACAAATATTTTGTCCGTTATTACACTATATACACAGGTTATATATAAGTACCTGCATGTTTTGTTCACCATAACGAACCACTAAGTTGCTATTATGAGTCCAAAAGTAACGAGGAGTGACCGCCACACACCAACCTGCCAGCCACTCGCTGCCACTCACTCCCTCAACACCTCACTTGCCCCCATTCTCCTCCCACCATACTGTTTTTGCTTTTATTCACTATATACAGACGTTATAAATAAGTATCTACATTAGTGTTCACCATAACGAACCACTAAGTTGGTATGCTGAGTGGCAGTGGCAGCTCGTCACTGGCTGCCTCTCCCTCCCTCACCTCACCTGACTCGCCACCATTCTCCCACCATACTGTTTTTGCTTTTATATACAGATGTTATATATAAGTATTTACATGTTTTGTTCACCATAACTCTACATCTAAGCTTGTATGGTGAGTAAAGGCAGAAAGACGTAGCTACTCGCACAGTCAGCTGGTGGCGGCTGCCCTCAAGGCCAGACGCACTAATATTTCTCCTCTAAGAACACTGTTTGTGGTGTTATTACGCAATATACACACATTATATATAAGTATCTACCTGTTTTATTCACCATACTTGTACAAGTAAGCTGGTATGGTGCCCAAAGACCATAGTGATCACCAGTAAACAAAAGTCGTGCAGACGATGCACCTCCCTCACCAAAATGGCGGCTCCCAACCTACTCCTATTGCTGTTATTACACTATACACAAGTTATATATATGTATCTACATTTGTGTTCACCATAGTGAACCACTAAGCTGGTGTGGTGAGTGCAGTCAATAAAAGGTGGCCACACACAGTCAGAAGATGTCACCACCACCCTCCCTCCCTCCCACAGCATTACTCCTCCTTCCATAAAGCACAGTGCTAAATATCACCACAATCCTGCTATTATCAGAACCCTGGTCAGTTTTATCAGTCAAGGGTCTTCTGTAATAATATCATCGCTAAATAATAGCAAGAACATGTACATTATGGCATTTTTAGGCGATGCTGTGGTCACAAGCTGAACAGCAGTGCTGAGAGCTCATGCTGCGTGTGTCAGGCTTGGTAGCTCACTCAATACTGAGGCCCCTCACACCCGGGAATTTGGCCCACGATTTTTTTTTTAAATGGCGTCTGTTTACAAGAGCCCCGATGAAGGTGTGGTGAACCCTGTGTATCCGCGGGCCGTTTAAATTTTGCGTAGTACTCCAATACATCATATGATGTGGAGCGCAAGTTACTGCAAGTCACTGAACACATCATATGTGTTGCTCAGTTAAAGGGTTAAAGTATAGGCACAGGCACTTTAAAGTATTCTAATTAGGTATTTCCTGAAGTGACAGCTTAAGTTATCACTTAATTTCAAGTTTGTGATGTCCCTGCACTATCTGGTTAATGCCTTTGCAAGTCAACTTGAAATTTAAGAGACTTGCATATGGTAATACAGAGAAGTTGTCTAGTGTTAGTGGGCTATGTGGTCTGGTTATAGATTTTGCAGCATTTAAAATTGTTTCGAGAGCCAACTGTATTTGAGGTCAGGCTGTCTGATTAAGTTTGATCGCAAGCTGTTGGTGCCTGAAGCCTTTTCATTATCCTGGTCCATCAGGTGTCTTTTGAGTGATACATATTTTCAAAAATTGTGGTGTAGGTTTGTACATACACACTACTGCTTCCTGATTTGATGTTTTGGTGTGCAAATTTAAAACGCGTCTCCCTAGTATTTGTCAGGTGTAACATATAATGCATTTAGCCATCATTCCGAAGAATATTAATTTAGATCTTTGAAGCGTTCTAAATAGGTTAAGTATTGGACTATTTTCAGTAGTACATTTACCTACTAATAGAAAAGCATTGCTTCTCCAAAATTTTAACATGCATAGCCGGATGCCAGAGGATAATCACAGTAGTGCCTGCTGCATAGAATGACCTAGATCATTTTCGTGTTGTACACAATTATTTTTTTTTAGCATGTGTACAGAATCGTGCATTATGAGATTCAGGGAATTTTTTTTTGTTTTTAAATAGTTTAAAGTAAAATGAATTGCCATTAAGGGGAAAAGGAAGTATGTTTTCTTAAGGTTTTATATAGATACTGTATTACATTATATATGTATGGAAGTTGCTGGAAGAAAAGGTTCCCAAAAATGCACAATAATATTGCAAAATTGGAGTGAAAGATAGGGTTGGAAATACAGAATAAAGTGAAGGGTAGAGGTATGCTATAGTCACAGAGAACATACGTAAGCATAAGAGGCCCACACCACAACTTTTCACCAAATAATAAGACATATTGCCATAATGCTAGTTGTGGGTTTCAAGAGGCAATTAATAAATGAAGTTCCTGCAGGAAGTGCCAGATCAGGCAGGTTGTAATGGGCACGTGGGCGGCTGTAAGTACACACATTGTGGTACTTACAAACGTACTTGTGCAAACAATAGTAGTAGACGGTTGGAACAAGTTTGGCGAGAAGGTGGTGGAGGCCAAAACCTTCAGTAATTTCAAAGCGTTATATGACTGTGCTGGGAAGGTAGGACTCTACGAGCATAGCTCTCATCCTGTAACTACACTTGGGTAATTACATTGGATGGTTATCGCCAGACAATCCAGGACCAAGACTGAGCTTGGAGAGTATAATAACTCTAACTACTGTATTCTATAAGTAAACACTGCAAAACTTGGAAAATTAGTATATAAAAATAATTATACATAACTTCAGTACCTTGCATTTAACTCCTTTCAAAAAAGTCAGTTAGCAGGCTAACAAAACAAGTTAATGTACTAGACATGAAATGGGTTTGGCAATGATTATTTGTAGTTTTGGAAGCTGAGATGGCAATCCTGACTTTTGATGTTAACCGATAGACCCTGTAGATTACTTGGCACCCCCCCCCCCCCCATCCGCAAGAGATGTATAAGGATTATTACTTAACTGTTCTTAAGGGCAAAGGTCTCTGATGTACCTTTACTGCTAGTGCATAAAATGATGTGTATTTTAGTACTATCATTTGGCCTGACACCACCACTTTGCCTGCTCTTGTGATAACATACTATAACCTAGGTCATAGACATACTAAAGATTCTGTATAAATACCTAACCTTAATTGCTGTTCATGTGCTTGGCAGCATCAGCTTGACTGCCAGCTTTGACACTGCTCATATCTACAATCAATTTTTCAGACAATTGTTCTCTTGACATTGTTGTGCCTCTGACTGACAATCTAACTATCACTTGCCCTGAAATTTGTTATTCCTAGGCTGATTGTAAATCTGCTTGCTGCATTCCTTCACTGGGAATTGGCATACTACTGTGCAATGCTGTTAATAGTATGCCAGCTTCTCTGGTTTTCCGTTAGTCTTGATGCTTGCTCTTTCACTCATTAGTAGACGTGAAGGAGCAAGCAACATTTCATACATTTGTTTCCTTATCACAGATGGTACTTATGCCTGATCGAAAATTTTACTCGACACGCGGTGGAGCAGCCAATTTTTACAAAGTTCGATCACTCGTAACTTATTTTTAATAGCATAACTTCCTCTTAACACCTACACATGGATTGTTGCCGCTGCCAGACATGGTGTTCGTGCAAAAATTGATCAAAGTTATTATTATAGCACAAAAATATGGAAAGATTTGTGTTGATGGAATCCGGATTGCAGAGCGTAGATAGTACTTTGTTTTGGTTGCCACAATGATGTATGGGTTCTTTAGGCACCATTGTGTAGGCATTCTGTCCCCCTACACATCCCTATTATACACTATTCTAGGTGTCTGCTTAGTGTTATTCTATAATTGAAGGATTATACATTTTTGTAAAAAGCTATACAGACATGGATAACTGAACGTTCCATCTGTTAAAGTATTCTTGGATACGTTGCATGTTGCTACTTTGTATTGCGGTACATATGAAGAGTTCCTAGCATGCAAGATTTCATGCTATACAGTACTACAAGTGCTGCTGGTTTTATGCTGGCATGATATGGGTGAATGAACTCTATTAAGGAGAGTATTTGTTAGTGGCATCTCGCCCAAATGGAATGTCTGGGATTGATCCTGTTCTGTTTGATCAAGTTATTTTGGTTCACCGATTGTTTTGCGATGTACAGTATTGCTTTAAAGATTTAAAGTTTTCCCCCTGTCCCAAATGATAAAATATCCCGTGCTTATATAGACGATAAAATTACTTAAACAATACCTTTAAATACAGGTGAACCTCATTTAACATCAGGTTTAAGTTCCTGAAAACTGTGACTTTTAACTGATATAATGTTAACACTTTGGCGGCCTGGCCTCTGCATGTTCCCAACCATAAACTTTCCAGACTCCCGAGGTCCTCACTCAGCAATGCCGTGAAATGTTTACAACCATTTTGTGTTTTCAAAGTTATTTGTTGGGTTATAACTACAAATTTGGTGTCAATGTTTTCATATGAATTCTATAGAGTATAGAAGCAAAAAAAAATTATACAGAATTAGTGAAGTACTGTACTGTATTTGTGAGAGGGATGAATATACAAATGTTTGTTCCTAGTGAGTCGTCATGAGAGAGCGGGAAGCACCCTGGTTTGTCCACTTGTGCCCTAAATATTGTCCACACGATAACTGATTTTTGAGTTTTTGGACTGGTTGGTGCAAATAAAATAGCTCGGCTATTGAAAATAAAAAATTTAATCGGAACGTGTAAGTGCTAAGTGAAACCAAAAACCTCGTAAGCCTTGAGGGTTACACAAGGGTATATAAATACACCTTTAGGTAAGCAAGGGTTAACACTTTCGCGCTTTGGGTGAGTGAGCGCCAGATCACTCACGTGATGCCCGGATCAAAGGTGGTCCGGGCATTTCACTAGAGCGTGCAGTTGTCAATTTTGGTTTTCAATTTTGTTACCTCAATTCTTGTCATCGGTTTTTCATTTTGGTATGAATGTGTTCGCAATAGAATTTGCAGCAGGAGTATATGCATATAAAGTCCAGAAGGCAGGCGTATCTCCCGCACCAAATCGAGAAATTGGCTGCACGAAAGCAGGCCGAACTTTTTTAATTTTTGATGCACTGATGTGTCGTTTTCGCACATTCGTCTAATAAATTTTTGACGACATGCTGCGTTGACCCCGGGCGAAAGTGTTAAGTTCCGTAAGGGTTACATTCCCTTGGGTACAAGGAAAGATGATTGGTCATTTTTCATTCACTTGTAAAAGCATTTTTAATTTTTTTCTAATAGTCTTCCATTTCCTTTGGCCTTTCATTAGGATTATTACCTGTCATAGGTAATTTACCCATTTTTTTTTATTAATACTGAGCTTGGAACTCGCACCGTACTCGTACAGTACAGTACTTTTTTCTATAGGTACAGTAGGCCTCTACATAGATTTCTCCCTCTTACGTTGGGAAACTTGAGAATAACGGCCTGTGATAAAAAAAATTTTACATGACGTTGAATCGCAATGCTATGAACTGGGGCAATGTTAAAAAGAGGTTCACCTTTATACTGCAAAGTAAAATTGAGGACAAATATTTTAGGAACCCATTACATGGATAGCTGATTAATTCCTACTGTCAATGGGCAAATTTGACTAAGTGTAAACTTCAACATGTCATGTCATGTATAACTTCTAGCAGAATCTGACTATTTAGAAGTCTCGCCATTTTTTTTCATGCCCTTCAGCATCTAAAGCTTTTGCAAGGGCCACAACATGACTTGGGATTATGAACTCAAATGAAAGCTTACTGACAATTACTTGAGGATTCCAATGATCAAGCAACTGTTAGAATTTAACCATGCTTAATTGCTTTCCCACAACTTTTTTTTCCAAGTTTGTGCCCATTTAGGAAAATCTTTAAAAATAAGTTTGGAGCAATATTTGGTAATGAAGAGATCATTCATACCCTAACATTTTCTCAGTGGATGAATTTTACAGATTGAAATCTTAATTTCAGCCAGTTGTGGTTTATAGTTTCCATCAGAACCTGACTTTAGGAAGATTTATTTCACAAATGACGTTTTTTTTACTATGGCTAGCCCATGAATCTATCTTGTAAACGGTAGCACCATGATTCCATAATGGTGTAAATGTACCAAGTCCATTCTTTCAAATGCCCGAAACTCAATTTTCCAGTAAATTTCACTGGTACTTGATCCAGGTAATGTTCCGATATATGGTATCCTAACCATTTTCAGAATACAGTTTTTGGCATCTCCACTGAGCAAAACTAATTCAAATTTGTCACTTCAAAAAGAAATCCCATAATGATTTCTTCCAAAATTGGCATGTTGATTTACTGCCCAAACAGTTCCTCTGGTTATCTTGAGGTTATCTCAAGATGATTTTGGGGCTTGGTGTCTCCTCTAGTCAAGGTTTTCTGACAATTTTATTACCCATGAAAAAAGTATTTTAAGACATGGCTTGTTCAATTTAATTTTTGCATAGGCCTTCAGTCTAACAAGAGTGTGGTGAAGCAGGCACTATATTCTAGCCAACCAGAATTTATTCTGGCCCACCATTGATCCTTTCCATTGTGGTCAGTTCGAGGAAGGTCCAACTGATATATTCATTCCGGTATATTGTTTGTATTGGAAGATTGTCCTGCCCAGGAAACGGCTACCCCTATCGATCGTCTACAATCGATGCCTCTAACCTGCATGTCCATTTATTCCAGGAAGTTTAATGATTAACTAATAAACAGGTTTGAGGGCAGTCAGGGAGGTCGAGGCAATGTTGGAGGCTGGGGGAACTATGATCGCGGAAACAGACGCTATGACCACAGTGAGGGTTATGGCGGCGGCTATGGTGACAGGTAATGCAGTTGGAGCGTATATGGTAGAATTTAGGCATACCTGGTAGGATGACCTTGTTTTAATTTTCTTTTAATTGACCCCTATCCTCCTCATCCTCCCTTAAGCCATTTTTTTTTTTTGTCTGTGTTTAGAAAGGTTCCTGAAATTGATTTAAAAGAAAGTGCAAATTGATTTGAAAGAAAGTGCAAATTGATTTGAAAGAAATTTAAGCTGTTGTTTGAATTAGCCTCATGGCAATGAATTTTTTTTATATTGTGCGATATCTTGAGGCTCATTGTATCGATTCTTGAAAGTTTACAAGACTTCTTTATCGGTGATTTTTAAAACTGATCATTATATAGCGGTGCAGCAAAATGGCAACTTTTTTTAATTACTGAAATTTACATATAAATTTTGGATCATATTGTGCAAATGGTAATTTTTTTCTGTGGGGAGGGAGGGGTGAATGTTTTTTTTCCTCACCCCTTCCCCCGTCTTCATTAACCTAAATCCATCTAACCCCCAGTAATCTTGTCCTCCAAGATGTGGCACATCCCACACCACTCGGGCCTCGCACTTGACCAACTCTTAACCTAGCAACATTTAACCTTTAAGGTTAGGTAGGTTAAGGTTAACCTTCATCTACCTAACCTACAGGCCTCGCACTTAACCTACTTAAACCTAGCAACTCCACAATCTATTGTACCTTGTATAAGGATTTTTTGTTTTGTTTTAAAGTCTGTAATGGATACAGATTTGGTCATACAGTGCTAACTATGCATTATTTATGTATCTCTTGATGGTAGGGGGAGGGGGGGTACTTTCAAATATTCACTGAAATTTCGTTATCCAAACTTGTGGCATCGGCATTGTTTGGAGACTGCCTCGGGTATAAGCTTGAGACGTAAGCCCTCTGGCAGTGGCGCTGTGTTTGTTAGTGGCCTTCACAGAGGTCAAAATGCGACCCACAATTTTTATTTTGAAATGTGCCCCTAGTTTTTATTTTGAAATGTGCCTCTAGTTTTTATTTTGAAATGTGCCCCTAGTTTTTATTTTGAAATGTGCCCCTAGTTTTTATTTTGAAATGTGCCCTTAGTTTTTATTTTGAAAGGTGCCCTTATTTAATTTCTAATAATGAAAACCTGCTCTTCTGAGTTATGGTTAGAAAATAGTGTTCATGCAAAACGAAAGTAGGCTTTGTTCACAATCGACTATGAGGCCACGTTTGTTCCAAATGTGTGTAAATGTCGTAATGCGAACAAAATATGTGCATGCTAAGTAATGTGATGTGTTTCTCAAAATAAAACGACTTTTTCTTAATTGATTTGTTCTTTTATCTTTTTAATTTCTAAGTAAAATGTTTGTACAGTATTTTATTTACATGTAATCTAATCTAATTTATAATAATTTGCATAAAACTTTTTTACATTTACATAAAAAATAAAAAGCATTTACATAAAAGTTGAAGCAAAATATAGTACTGTATATCAAATCAAAAAAGAAATGGGTAATAGTTGTTTGGAGGAAGCATAATTGAATATTTTTGGCCCTACTATGACCTTTGATTGTCATAACCATTGTCACCACCATACTCACCTGGCACAGGAGATGTGCGTATTGTCAGAATCATGGTCACTAAATTCTGAAAATTAATACTTTTCCCACGCGTTTATTTCCAACATTGGCAGTGGGCTGTGGCTGGCTGCCTGCCTGTCACTGTGAACATCATAAACAATGTGTTCAACTATATCTAAACATCGTACATAGTCTGATATCACAGTCAAGCTCTTCTGTGATACTATCATCACAAAATAATAGCAGTTACCTGTATATTTTAAGTGGTGCTGTTATCACAAGCTGAACTGTGGTGCTGTTAGCTTGTGCTGCATATGCCAGCTTTTGTTTCTCACTCGATACTGGTTCCTACACACCCAGGAATGGTGCCCCTATGAAATTTTATTGAAAATTGCATGTTTATTGGAGATTTGAAAGTCGATGCGAGTCCTGTGCGATTCCATGGATTTTTAAATCTTGCGCAATGCTCTTAAAACATGAGATTCGTGTCAGTTAGGCCAAAATAAAGATTTTCGAAAAGGTGAATTATTTTGTTAAGCAGGTATTAAAAAAAAACTTGTGCAAATTGGGTGTTTACTGTCCCATCTAAAAAAGTAATGCATTACATTGCCACTTGCAGCCGAGAGGCTAGCCCATTTGTCTGCAGGAATTGCATAAAAACTTCCTGTGGCTCGTGGACCAATTCATGATCATCGTTCGCCGACATAAATGTTAATCTTAGGGTGCAGCAGAATCGCCCACTCTTTAATTAAAGGTGCTTTTTCCTACAACAGTAATCCTGATATATTTGTTGGTGTCCCGAGATGTGACGACTGCCTGGGGATATTTTCTTGATTCCCTAGATCAAAACGTGTTCTTTCAAAATTTAAGATGTAAATGATAGTTTGGCAATTTAAAATGTATGTTGTTCGAAAATGTTTAATTATTTTAATTGAGGAAATGTCTTGGAATGTATTAACTGGAATGCTGTATCTTTGGTTTAGCTTTGATCAAAATCTATCAACAGCCGTGTTGTCAAAGTACTTTAAAATTTATGGTAAAAAAAAATATTCTGATGCATTTTTATATCAAGGTAACATTGGCACATTCTTCAATTCGTTGAAAATGGCATTCATGTGATAAGCCGATTCTTCTGTAGACCTGTTGTGATTTATATCTAGCTATCTGTTGTACTTAAACCTTAATCCATATAATCAACCCAATCTAATTTTAATTAAATTTCAGCTTAAACAGTTCCATTAGTGTATGGCTTCGGGTAATTTTTGCCTTCAGTTTTAAAGATAATTGATCAATCTTTCGTCACTTTAACAAACCTACAGGAATGCCGGAGGTTATAACCACCAGGTGGTGAACCCCTGGGAGACGGGTATGGCGCCGTCCTCGGGTTTCATGCCACATGCTGGCGGAACGGGCGGAAGTCTGTTGGGGGAGTTCCGAGGAAATTCCGACATAGTCGGGTCCATTAATCATCTGAGCCGAATGAACAACCCCGAATCCAAGATTGCTTTGAATATCCTCAGTGCAGTGCTTGCAAAAGTAAGTGAATTAAATTATTTTAGCAGTGTTGACTTTTTTTTTAATTATTGAGAATAATGGTTAATTGGAGTACAGTATTTTTAGTTTGATTTCTTTGTTCATAGGATAAGAGTAAATAATGCCTTTTAAGTTTAATTTTCAGCATAAGGAAAATACAGAAGTAAGGAATTGGCATTGACAAAATATTTGTAATTAGTAAAGTTTTAAATGTCATTAACTTTTACTGCTATTATCTCACATGATCTTTCATAGTAGATATATTTGAGTGGAATTTTAAGACAGATTAGAAAGCTGGAATTCCACTTGGGGAAATCTTTTGAGGAAATTAATGTCAAGGTAAACGAATGCTGCTGCTGATTGTATTAAAACAAAGTAGGTTAAAGAAATGGTTTCCATAGATAAAAGTGGGATTGACAAGTTGACTAGTGGAAGATTGTGCAAGTACTGGTTTAAGTGGAACTGCAGATTAATTGGAAGAACATGATGGGAGGCGAGTTGCAGGGATATTGGGTGTCTGGTGAAGAGGTATGGAGGTGCATAGCGTGAAGGGGAAATGCGTGTCACAGCTTGTTAACGGTTTAATGTGGAAGGGAATGTTATCACCGATTTATTTCGTGTGGGAGTTGGTTGTATGCTTGGCTAGTGCGGGAGGAGAGGTTTAGAGGGAGGTTATGCATATATATTTTAAGGGTAAAGTCATCAGTACAGGCTTATGAATGGAAAATGTGTAAAGATTGAGTTATGGAATAAGATGATTCTAAACACTTTTTAATGGTTCAACCCGTTGACATGTTCCGAGCCGTAGACGTTCTGGGCATCTGAAGGTGTCACTATGGCTGAAAATGTTACTTTTGTTTTTTGTTTTTTAAATCGGTTTGTTAACTATTTTTGGTGTCGAATGTTTGCAATTGATTTTTCTAGAGTATAGATGCAAAACAAAATGTTTGTTTATAATTAATTAATAATGAAGGTGCTGAATGTATTAATGTTTATGATCGATCACTTCAACATTCATCATTTACTTTTCAGCATAAATGAAAAATGGAAATGTTCACAAGTGAATGGTCTATATTGCTGTAAAAAAAGAGAACAAACCTAACTAATAATTTTCTGGTAGGGACTTTGTTAAGCCTTGTGAAAATCCTTGAAGCAAATATAGTTTCAAGTGAAAGGTGGTTGACCAAGGTGGTCACTGGATACTTGTGGTGGTTCCCTGAAAATGTATGCCCCACTCTTGCTCAAGCGAGTAAACAATTACAAATTAAGTGATTTTAAGCAATTTTGAGATGAGGTACATTTCAGGTTTATAGATTTTGGAAATATGGCAAGAGCTAATCCTGATCATACTATAGATTGAGGAGTTTTCCCCCATATTTCACAATTTGTTCCAATTATACCAGTGGGCAATTCAATTTCATTTGTTCATATTTTGCTACAGTAAGAAATGGATTATCAACAACACTTTAGTGTTCCGGTGACGTCAGTCATACATTAACGGCAAACATTCCTATGAAGTTGAAATGTGCCTTTCATCTCAAAATTGCTTAAAATCTCTTAATTGGTAATTGTTTACTCGCTTGAGCAAAAGAGTGGGGCATACATTATCAGAGAGCCACCACAAGTATCTAGACAACCAAACCCCCCCTCTTCCCGTCTCTTTAATAAAGTTTATGGGTTGGCAATAAAAAATAAATTCATGTTTGCTGTTGTGAGCAAACATGAAATGTGTGCACTGATCAGCCTTTCATGTCCCACTACTAGGTGTAGATGGATGTGCATCATCTATTATGACTGTTGGATGGCCTCTGACAATTGTAAAGTGCCTTTTGACGTGAATGACACCTTGGTATTAAGTGGGGGCAGGGGGGGGGAGAAAAAACAAAAAACAGTGTATCGCCGTTTCTTGTTGAACGAAAGGATGACATAAGACAACGAAAGAGACGTTTGTAAACCGGGCAGACATGGTTTGTTTGGGCAGTTTTTGAAGTGATGGCATAGGTATTGAATGGTGCAATTAATGGACTAGTGTTATTTTAAGCTTGTGTTATTTCTATCTAGCGTATACCCATTTATAGTTTTCCTATTCCTCTTATTAAATCACCTCCATTCCATAATTTGCAAAACAGTAAGGATTTTGTTTATGTAAATGTGTGTGTGTGTATGTGTACACTGATCTCCTCTCAAGTGACTGGCTGAAATTCATGGATTGAGTGTCGAATTAATTTTCCCCCGTGTATCGAGATATGAGTGCGTTACGGGCATTTGTTATTAGATGCAATTTGTTACTCAAAAGTGCATGCTCGGCTGGACTAACCAAAAGCAAATCTTGAATTAATAAGATAACTTCGAGTAGCCTTCCTCTTATACAAAATTCATGGATTAAGATAGTCAAAATATACAGCACTTGAAAGAATTTCATAGCAGTGTCTCTCGTGGTTAATGTATGTAATAACTTTGTTGAATTTAACTACTTTTATCATAAACTTCTTAAAATAGGATGAAGTTCGTGGTGGCTGGAGCGGTGGTCCCCCTCTTGATAAAAGGAGGCGCTTGGATACAGTGAGTAAATTTAAAGGATTGTTCATGAGTTGTTGGCCCATATATTTATATATTTTGGTTATATACTGTAGTTTAAAAGTAAATCCTTTCCAAAATATAAGGGGGAGGTTCTGTTAAATGTTGTTCATAATGTTAATATGGTCGTATTTTGACGCAAATTACTCTCGTCCTGCAGCAAGAGATACTGCTAGTGAAAGTCAAATTTGCTTCTTTGATTTATTGTTGAGAAGCTGCTGACCTGCTAATTTTAAAATGAGATTAAATAAATTTTGGGCTTCCATGTACTGTAATTCAAATAACTCACAAAACATGTTTGTACCTGGAATTTATGGCATTAATATTACAGTAAATGTTTTTTTGCTTTAATTAATCACTAGGAAAATATTGGGAGATGGAAAGGCTTCAGCAAATAACAATCTTCAAAACCTCCAATAAGTACACCAGTTGGTTGCTACAGCTGCACTTTGGGGCAGAAGTTGCATTTAATACCCTGTATGAGGATGGATGTCTCCCGTTTGTTTTCAACTTGAATGAGTTGTTATTGTAGGAGACTTAATTGTATTATAGACTTTTTCCTTGTATATGGAATTATTGTCAACTGAAGGATTTACATGTGAATCCTTGGGCTAAAGATCTTCTGCAGGTTATGGTTGTGTTTGGATGGTACTTCATATATGCAGTTCTCTTCTGCTAGCAGTATGAATCAGATATATGATGGTTGATGAACCATCATTCTTCTGAATATTAAAGTCATCACATTTTCTGGAGTGGGTTATAGTAGCGTGTTGATCTGCATTCCAGAACGAGTAATAAATTCCATTAATATTTGGTCTTTTATTCTTTGAGGGTGCAGCTAACCTTCAAGAGTTGGGAGGTTGTTCCTCTTCTATTGTTTTTTTTACTGCTTTGAATATGGCCCTATGAAGGCTTAGTTATTAGCCCTAAATGGGTTCTGTGTTGACACAGGTACTGTGGGAAAGATTCCTGTGTTCAGGATCAGCCCACAGAGCATTTAATGTATATGTTGTGACAGAGGCGAGTGTCTCCAACAGGATGGGGGTTATGATATCCACCGAGGGCAGTCATTTTCTCCCTCAATGCATCATCTGGCCCACAAGGTTCCTCAGCGTGACCATCAGTACAGCCCCCATCGGGCTGGCAACTTTCAGTCCAACCGCCGTGCTAGGGGTGGTCGTTCCTTTGGCCAAGCTGGTCGTCAAGCGACGACACAGCAACAGCCAAGGAAGACAGTATATGCCAAGAAGGGAAAGCCCAACAATAATAAGGGCCTTGCTAAGGACCAAAAGAAGAAGGGTGAGGCATCATCTGCAGCTGGTCAGACAGGAGATAAAACTGAGGGTTCCTCAGCTACAGCTGACCCTAACCAGAGGTAAGCTCTCCCCGAAGTGCTGTTAACACTCCTGTAGGACCTGCTCCTTACAGGATTCGTTGGCCGAGACTAGTATATGGGTCGGCTTCACTAATTGGTGGAATTTTGTGAAGATGACCTTGAAGTTATGCTGTTGAGCTGCCATACTAGTAGCAAATATGCATAATCTTCATTGATTCACCCAGTCATAATTCATTGTTTAACCCAGCAGCTTGTTCAAGTTGGGTAATCACTGTGCTTGACTTGGAGAATTCCATTAAATATGATCCAATATTAGTGGTGGTAAGCTATTTGAATCAGAGAATATCATAATCTGATTAATTGTAAGCCTGGCAGATGTGGTTGTTCTGGCTAGTCAAGTTATACCTAATTTGAAATTGGGTAGATGGATTTAATCAACTTTCTTGCAGTTCTTAATATTGCTGCATATTTATCCAGTTGCTGTTAAATTGAATAATGGATTAATGTTAAATTTAGACGTCTCAAAAGAATTGTAATCCATATCCCTGTACAGCCAAAAAGTTTAGAGATTCAGAGGCACAATGTTCCTCCAAGTGCTTCAGTGCCCCAAGTAGAGCTTCTGCTTGGGAGCCCAGTCACTCCAGCAAGAGTCTTGCTCATACTGCAGCCTCTGATTGAGAAGCTTGTCTCTTAACATGAGGTGATCATAGTTTTTGGAATGGGTACAAATTGTTAATGGGCTGACAATTTATAGAATTCAGCCGTGTTTAAAAGATGCACGTTTTCAATTGTTCTAATTTTTCCAAGTAATGCAATCTTAACTAAAATAGTTGGGGGTGAGATCCTAGATGACTTCCCTTTTTGTTAAATTACGTGTTGGCTTTTAATTTTCATTAAATTTCTAAGACAAATTCTAATTATTTGCTAAAGTACTAGAGGGGGAAAATATTGGTTAAATTGCTCATGGTAACATGCTGTAACTTTCTTTGACACTTTGGGAATTAAATGATTAGGTACTGTAGACCTTTTGCAGATAATTATTTATTACATGTAAATTATTGTTTTGAAGTATTTTTTGCCAAATATATTATTTAAATATGCTAATATGGATGTCATTTTATTTAAATTATGTATTCTCAGTGGCGACGATAATGAAGAAATGGAGACAGAGAAGGAAAGTTCGGGAGAGAAAGAGAAGGCGGTGAAAGCCGAGAGTTCTGACAGTGAAGAGGAGATGGATGAAGATGTAGGTTGTGCCATGACTGGTGTATTGTATTTTCACATTTTAAGTAAGAGCTGTTTGTGTCAAATCCAGTGATTTCATAGTGTATGTTGTTTATTAATGTGTTAAAAACTATAAAGCTAAATAAATGTATATATATATTTTTTTTTCAGGATGATGAGATGACCACCTTACAGGCATTGAGATGTCACATTTGTAACTTTTACAAGTTCACTAATATGAAGGTGAGTGTCATTAATGGCCTGTAAAAAATATATACAACTTTGGTGATATATTTTTACCCTCCAGCCCAACCACTTGGGCTGAACGGTATAGCGACGGTCTCGCTTCATGCAGGTCGGCGCTCAATCCCCCGACCGTCCAAGTGGTTGGGCACAATTCCTTCACAAACCCCCCCCCCCCCCCCCCCCCCCCCCCCCTCTCGCCCATCCCAAATCCTTATCCTGATCCCTTCCAAGTTCCAGATAGTCGTAATGGCTTTGCGCGCTCTCCTGATGGTTACCTTCCTGTGCACAAATACTGGCACCCAGTGTCTTAGTGGTCAAAAGCTGGTCCCCCCTGTAAAATACACTAGATATGATTTTCTGTAGTAGCCATTGTATTGTTGCTTGATAAATTTCTACTTTAAATCTATTTTTATTTCTCATTGCTATACTTCTTCATTTAGTTACTCAAATTCAAAGAAGTTTGAGATATAAATACACAAAGGGATGAGTTAGCTCAAGCTATTCACACCCCGTTCAGTATGCGCGCACGCGTGTAAATAATCATATTACGGGACATAGCTACTCTAATGCATCTCTTTCCACCTAACCACTTAGACTTGATGGCAGTAACACTCTTCTCAAAGGTTGGCATTCAATTCCAGTCTGTCCCTATAGTGGGGCACAATTACTGTCCTATCATAAATCTTAATCCTTGTATTAATTCTTAAGTGCTATGCCATCTTAATGGCTTTGTGTTTTCTTCTGATAATTCTTACCGTGCTATATTAGCTAGTTTTATTTGGATCCCATTTCTACAGCCTTTTCTCCATTATTAATAAGTTGTGTGCCACCATTTTCTTTGTGGAATGAATGGGCTTCCCTTGTTTTTTGTATACTTGGACCCATTGTTGATTTTTACTTTATATTTTTGCTCTCTGCAGACATTCAGGAACCACTTGGAGAGCAAAAACCACGAACGCATGCAGCGGACGTACCACCTCAAGGGTACTGCTATTCTCCAGTACTTAAGGGCTCAGTCAAAGGTGAGTAGTGCTTTATTGTTGTCTTGTGTACTCCTGTATTGCTTTTCTTGTGATAATGGCCCTTCAAGTTGAAAATATGTACTTGATTGTATTGTTTATCTAGATACCTGCTCCTTATCTCTCAGCTATTTGAAGAATTATAGGCTTAAACATGGTTACTGACTTGCATTAGACGTTAATAATTTATCCATGTCAGGTAGTTGACTATGGAGATGGAGGAGGGGGCTGGATTATTTATTTATTTGCTAAATTTACTCTCGCAGATGTTCAAGAGTGCTTTACTGATTAATGCAAAGTTCGATCTATTTGTATATCTTATCTCTGTCGTGTTTAACAGCTGGCTGCCCAGCGGAACATACTGAGGCTACGGAGGATGGGGTCGCAGGAACGCATCATGCAGTGTACCAAGATGCTCCTGAACATATCAGCTATTTGAAGAATGGCTTAAACATGGTTACTGACTTGCATTAGACTATGTCAGGTATTGACTATGGTTCAAGAGTGCTTTACTGATTAATGCGTTCTCTATTTGTATATCTTATCTCTGTCGTGTTTAACAGCTGGCTGCCCAGCGGAACATACTGAGGCTACGGAGGATGGGGTCGCAGGAACGCATCATGCAGTGTACCAAGTGTCAGTGTCACTATATGGGGACGCTCGCTGAACACTCGAGAACCCGTGAACATAGTGTAAGTTGAAACCATTATCACCAGATTTCTTCAGATTTGTTTACACCCTTTTGCTCTTAACAAAATAAGAAATAAATACTTTTTTTAATTAAACTGTAAAATATTCATTTACCAGTACATTATTACCCTTGCAATTAGATTTTTAGTGTATGGATTAGCCTAAAGTTCTTGATACACATTTCTCATCTTAAAATATGGCATTTTTACAGTTGTAAATAAATGCTAATTTGTGTTTCAGCTTGTGAGCAACTTCACAAAATGTTCGCTCTGCTCACTCTGGTTTGAGAACAGGATGGAACTGGAGAAGCACCGTCTCTCCTTCCTGCACATGATGGTAAGTTATGGGTTTTCTATCATATAAAATCAGTTTTATTTGTTAGTTTCAAGTAACATTGCCAGTGTAAGACTGTCATTGTTAATAAGTTGTTTTACCCTAAATGTAGGTCAGTGGTTCCGAGTTGATGGGGCGCTACCCTCTTGAGTCGTTTGAGTATTACAAAATTGGGCCATTCCCTAAAAAAAGGTTGGGAACCACAGAATTATTGATATATTCTAAATTCTGTACTTAACTTTTTTCATGGAAAGTATGTTGTTGAAAAACGAGATGACTTGGGACCAATGTAGATTGCAAACGTAAGACTTTTGTAACGCCAACGTTCTGACCTCTGCAGAGTTTGCCGCCTTGCTGTCATGACAGGACTGGCATAGTGCACTTACTAACATAAGCATTTTATATACTGATATATTTGACTTTATGACAGATATAAAACTAGCATGATGTTTAGGTCTTATAAATTTTCAATTGAATCTTAACAGAGGGAGGCTATTATGGAGAAGACAAGGGAGAAGAATGCATTGGAAAGTGCCAAGGAGCCAGAGGAGGAGAAAATTCCCGAATACGGTAATGTGAAAAAGTGGTTATTAATCTTAGGGAAGTAATATATATTGATACCTCAAGTTGATAATCTTGCCTTATGATTTGGCCATTATTTTCTAAACCAAATTGCAGTGGCAGGACTTGTGGAAAATGTTTCAATTTGAGCTTGAGATTCTGATACGGTTATTTTTGTTATCAGTGAATGCTTTGTTGTCTGGTGGTATAATTTACAAACATGATACTGTACTTTGTTATACAATTTTTTTTTAGCCTTCCATGGGGGGATGCTTTGAAGTGTGTCTTATGGAATGCTCAGTCCTTGCACAGCTCTTTAAAGGCATGCAAGAATGAATGGAAATGTGTAGGACCATTACTGCTGGTTTGGAATTGGCGAAACATTTACACTCATGGGACCAATGGGTAGCACAATAACAATTCTTTTACTTTGATTTGCAGAACCTTTCAACAAATTTCATGTTGCTGTAGAGAAGATGAAGAATGAAAACAAGCATGGGTATGTGTTCAATTTGAGTCGTATGCCATTGTACGACCCTGCAAGTCTCACAGGTGAGTTTTTTATTATTATTCAGTTGTATGGCTTAACTTGCCTATTTACATTATTAAAAGTTTAAAGTAATATGAAAATAATTAATAAAGCCCAAACTTTAAAATCATTAACCAGAAAAAATGCAAATGTGCAAAATCGTTAACCTTTTTGCTGCAGTAGCATTTAACACGCTACCGATGGTTGAAATAAGAGTCCCTCGAAATTTGAAAATTTGATTTTATTACTATGCTATTGAAAGTAGAAAGATTTCCAGTTGAAAAAAATGGGTAAAATTTTTTGCAAAAATTGTCTAGTTTTTATAGAATTATGGTCCAAGAATTGTATCTAGGCTACAGTATGGTCTTAATAAATAAAATATACTTTTTCCACAAATGCAACATAGTGTACTTGCCTTGAAATTCAGTGTACTGTTCCATTGAAAATGTAGTGTCCATCCTCCCCTATTATTTTTGTCTTTAAAGGTGTATGTACCGATTTTTGGATTTGCTTTGTGGCATTTGATACCGTCACCAACAGATGGCAGTACTGTACATACCAGATTCAGGAACTTGGCTTGGAAACTTGCTTATAGGCATCTAGACTTTCATAATTGTGTACCATTTTTCTTAAGGTGCATGTAGCTGTCTTTAGCAGCATATGGGTCAATGACAGTATGGTTAAAAAAGGGGTAATCGGGTTTTGAAGAAATGTTAAAATAGTTTAAGAGATGCTGGTAAATAAGCAAGTTGTTTGAAACTGGCTTTGTGGGCAAGCCATTCTTCTATGTGCTGGTTTGGTTCTTATTGTTTAGAGCTGGCATTTTGAGGATTGAATTATCGTATTCCATTTGTTGCCATTGTAAATGCATGTCATTTATCACTTAACATTTTAAGTTTCTATATTTTCACATAGAAATCTTGTATGATATTCAGGGTCAAGAATGTTTATTTTGAGTAAAGATATTGTATATAAATGTTGTTTTCTGTATTTCAGGCTTGAACTTCATAATGAAGAAGTCCCATTTATACTGCAAAATCTGTTCAAACAGATCAATACCATCACCAAAAGAGGCTTTGGATCACTTTTCTTCATTGCAGCATTATGAGAAATATGCTGCTTACCTGAAGGAACAAGAGGTGAGGTGATTTATTTATGTACGTATTATTATTATTATTATTAACACCCATTTCTTACTTTAATTGGGTTGTGACATCCCACCAGAGAAAATACGTGAATAATATTGTAGCTGGAATGGTATTTAACACTGTAAAATGAACTCTTGCAATCATTATATCAAATGTTTATATATAGCATTATGGATTAACTTGGGCTAAGTGATCCACACCATCGTACCACTTGCTTCATAAGGCCAGGTGTACAATGCTCTTGATAAGTTGTCTTTTATAAATATATTGCATGCTCGCATTGCTATGTCCCCATGTGGTCTAGTGGCTAGGATACCTGGCTTTCACCCAGGAGGTCCGGGTTCGATTCCCGGCATGGGAAGAATTAAAGCCTCGTATGGGCCAATAGGCCTTCTGTAGTTACCTTTGTTCTTATGTTCTAACTTCCAGCCTTATCCCTTATCGTATCTCCTCCCCCCTCCCCCCCCCCCCCCCCTTTTTACCTACGTGCACATTCACTATTTGCCCACCTTCCTAGCCTTCCTCCTACTCATTCTTTATAAAATACATACATTCTACGTGGCCAAATGATTTTGCTGTTTGGGACTTTTGCGCTTTGCATTCCCACAACTCGTTTATTTCTCTGTTGTCGAAGTAACCGAGTATTCCCAAATTGTCTATTTCTTCTGCTCCTGCTCCACTATATATTTTTTTGTCAACGTACTTAATGTTCTCAAGCATCTCAATACAATTTTTAACTAGTCAACTACATTGTACTTTCCTTCCTATATAATACAATTTTACAGCACAAACTCTTGCCAATTTCATGCACACTCATCACTTAAGTCCTTCTTTGTTAACTTCATCATGTGTTTGAAGTTCATAAATGTCTTCTCTACAATGAGTTTTATACTCTTTATTTTAAATTTGTCTTGAATGTTGAAAGTACTCAAGTTTCAACATTTTGTAGTGGCTGAAAGCAGTGCATGTAGCATCCACTTTGTGCATCGCTGATCAGTTTCTTGTATTTCTTATAATTTCCTCTACTCGTCAGATCACTTTTCTGCCATGCAATTTGTCCATTATTAGTAAATTAATATTTATAATTTGTACTTTACAATCATTTTTCTATAATTATATTTGTACCGTACCACAATTTTGTGCCTTCTGGCAACTTCTTCACACCCATTTCATTCTGTTTTCCATTTTGTTTATTCATTTCTGTTATTCATAAACACGTGCAGCTTTCCCTCGTCTTACCTTCACTAATGATTTTCACATAATCGGCTGTCATGCAATCTTACTCTTCACCCCATCAGCTGTCGTGCAGCAATACAAATCTACCAGTATCCATTGTATCTACCAATCCAAATGATTGGGTTAATCACTGATAAAAGTGAATCCTTAGTTTTTATCTCTCTTTATTGGCAGGATGTCACTTGGCAGTAGAGTGAAATAGTTTGAAGCATTGCTTGTATTCTTCTTTCAGGAAGCGAAAGAAAAAGCTGCTAGAGAGGAGGAGGAGGAGAAACTTCGGCAGCTCAAGGCTGAAGAAGAAGCTGAAGCTGCCGCGATGGAAAACAAAAATGGCGACAATGTGAACACAGAGGATGAGAATGATGCTGAAGGTGATGCAGGAGACACGGAAGAAGGTGATGCTGATGCAGAAGCAGAGGATGCAGGTGAGGAGCCAGAAGGTGATGAACTTGAAGGTGAAGCAGAAGCTGAAGAAGCCGAAGCAGAAGAAGCTGAAGTAGAAACTGAAGAAGCTGAGGCCGAAGTAGAGGTAGAAGTCGAGGCTGAAGCTGAAGCAGAAGCTGAAGCCGAAAGTGAAGCGATGGACACTAGCTCACCTGCTGGCAAGAGCGAATCAAGGAGGGGCAAAGCAACTAATAAAGTGGCAAGTTTAAGTTTGTTAATTTAAAAAAAAAAGTGCATGTATGCACAATAAAGTCCAACCCATTTTTTCAGGTCTTAAGTGTTAACATAGGCTTCTTACCTACACATTCTTGTATCACTAGGTTTTATGACCCAATTTTACGTCGGCTAAATACGGCAGATTAATCCTTTGAATTTACAGCGTGTGAAATATTGGATATACATATATATCCAATATTGAAAGCTTGGATATTTCTTGTGAAATTGAAGATGCACATTAACTATTCAATTTGAAATATGCTGAATCTGCAGATAATTATTTTACATAATCTCGATTTCATAATGGCCTTTTGGAGCCTGTATAATTATGAGATATTGAATGGGGAAGTCTGGTGGCCTTTGTTTGGTACTTTGGTACTTTGTTGCTCCAGGAAATCCAGCAAGACTGGTAGCTTTCAGGTCCAGTGAAGTTGGGAATTATATAAAACACCACACCAACGCTAACATTAGTAGTTAGCAGTGTCGTAATGATCTCGTTGACCCTCATTTGTAATTTCTTCCTTTAGGGGGATACTTTAGAATTGCTAGAGGAAGATGATGATGCCATACTGGACAGTGATGTGGATGATGAAGTCAAAGAATCTTTAACCAAGGGCAAGGCAATGGATGTTGGGTAAGTTACCAGGAGCCTGCTGTTCTACTTTCAGGTGTTGCATATGTTTGTCATTCAAAAAGGCATTTAAGAGTGAAGTTTTATCCAGGTGTATCTCTGGATTATAGACATTTCACACAGAAATCACACTAACGTGATGTATCCAATGAACAAGTCCTCAAGGGCCGTGACGAGGATCCATGACAAACCAGGATTAGTTGTGTAAAATCCTGGTTTGTTCCTCGAAGAGGCTGCGGGATCCAGTAAGTTCAGTAGAACTTCGGTTTCAACTCTCTCTAACCCTGTGGTAGCTCAGTCGATTAAGGCAATGTCTGGGATGCTCCCGGATGCAGGTTCGAATCCTCGTCACAGCCCTTGTGGATTTGTTTATAGACATTTCTCTGAACAAACTCCTCTCCCCCCCAGTTTTCTGGTCTTCGTTGCAAGATTATTACTTCATGTTAATTACTCAATGTTTTGGCCCAAATAGCGTCAGTTGGCGATCGCCAGAAAGGAGAGTATTATGGGTTTTCACTTTCGTTTTCCCGGGCCATTTTTAGTGCCATTACTTATTAACTTACAAATAGAAATGAGCCAGACACAGGAAGTACTAAGTGTGATATGTGGTGGTCATAGCTTAATGGTCAAATAAAATGGTGAAATATCAACAGATGATAAAAGCATGAGGTACATAACTAAGAGGGGAATGAAATTATTAGGGGAAAGTGCCAAACCATTATGACTATGTAGCACATGGAAGGGGTAAGGATAAGGATTTGGGATGGGACAGGAAGTTGGAATGCTCCCCAACCACTGGGACGGTCGGTCCATTATTCATATTCTTTTAAACTAGTGCTAATGAATGGCTACTTCATAACAACCCCTTACTTTTAGTCATCTCTTAATTATAAAATAACTTTATTTCTAAGGGATACATTTGGTTCCAGTGTAATCTACGTTGTTGTAGTACACAACGTTCAATTTTGTACACCAACCAAATGGCATGCGGCTCTATACAGTGTACAATATTATGGGAGTTTCACGGTATTAATCTAAGGCATATCATAAAATCTTTTGAATGTCCCTACACTTTATGGAGCGCCACCCTGCTCCTTATTGTCTGAATTGCGTTGTCCCTCTTACCGTGGTGCATATCCTTGTTGAATGTCCCGACTTCCAGGACGAGCATGTGTCTTGCTTTCCAACCGTCCACCGCAGTCACTTGTCCCTCGATAGAATTCTAGGTGAATCAGATACTTTTGATATCGTTCGCCTTGTGCGTTTTTGTTCTCGTATTGGCATTCTTGGTGATATTTAGCGCCCTCTGATTATTTCGCACTTTGATGGTGCTACATAGCCTTCCCGGTTTGGTGCCTTCTTTTGATAATTACCTTACCTTACCTTTTGAATGTCCCTTGAGAAAGAGCTATAGTATTGAGTCACACGTCTTGGATTCAATATCGAGTCCAAGATGATGACTCAATAATGAGTCGTTATTAAGGCCACACATCTTGTTGGTGAGCTCATAACTGACATTGAAGAATTCTTGGTAAGAAAACAAATGGCCTACTTTCCTTAGTCCTGCACTAGGAATTTGTATAAAATTTGTCTACATTTATAATATTACATTTTGAGTAAAAACCTTGTTAATGGTTCCTGCACACAAGCATTTATATTTATTTGTTTATAGTGATGAGTTACCAGTACTTGAGACTGCTGGTGTAGAGTTGAAAAGTAGGACAAAGGCCAAAGCAAGTAAAGCACAACCTGAGGAGGAAGAGAAAAGTGAAGAGAAGGAAGATACTGCTCAAGCAGTGTCCACCCCCCGTGGCCGGAGAGGACGAGGGCGGGCACGTGGACGAGGTGCCAGGAAGTAGTGTCGAGTAAATATGGCATTTTAAACTGGAACCAAAGTCTGCTGGTGAGTTATTTTAAGTTAAGACTTCTCTTTCTAAGTTTCTTCCTTACCTGCATACCTGGAGAGGGTTCTGGGAGTTGTTCTACTCCCCGAGCCTAGCTCGAATGTTAACCAAGGTTGGTTAAATGTAGGGAATGTAGCCATTGTTTGGGAACGGTTACCCAATTTTTTTTTCCCCAGTGCTAGCTTCAGTTCGTTAAATGAAACTACAAATGGCAGGCCCTGATATTCTCCAATAACACATTGAAGCATTAAAGACATCCAATACAAAAAAACTGGCCAATACAAAAAAACTGGACATTTGGTTTTTTGTTGAACATTTATAACCTAGTCTATTCATGTATTTTTATAAACTATTTCAAATGATTTATATTTATTACGTACTCATGCTTATTGTACAGGATTGGATTTTCAAGTGATCCAAATTTTTGTAAATGTTATGTTAGACTCGGTCATCATTATGAGTGCTATAATAATTAATTAATAAGATTACAAATGAATAAGGGAGGGGGGGGGGAATTGGCCTATTTAAATTTTTGGTTATATTCAGCAACTAAAATGTATGAAATTCCACGGCAGTTATGTTTATTGGTTGTACTTTATTATATTTGGCTAGATATTTATTTTCATGAGACATGTTTAATACTGTTAGAAAATGGGAATAAACTTTTATTTCCAGTAAAGTTGGAAAGAGCTGAGCTTTAACAATAAAACAGCCTGTGTACACACCAGTGCATGAATGTTTTACCCCACTGTCGTGCATGAAATGTTTATACTGTACTGTACACACACTGCACATTTTCACAAGTCAGAATGTTCACACACTGAAGTTTGGGGGAAATTACATGGGAACATGTTGGCCATGTTAGGGGCGAGGAAGTCTGACCTGATACTCGTCCCGACCGGTCTCGTCCAGTCAAGCAGTGTGGCAGGAGCTGCCACAAAGATATTATTGCCTAACTATATAAATGATTATTTATTTTTTATTTTTATTGTTGTAGTAGTATTTTAGAGTGTAATGTGACAAATTGATATAATAAAATGTGTGGATCATTGCTATACTCGAAAATATTGTTTTAGCGATACAATTATTGTATTCATAGAACGATACGTGTCTGCTGTTATTACTGTACATGTGTTTATATGCACAAACTATAGGTGCCATTTTAATGATTTTGTTTATAAATGGCTGAAGATGGGCCTGATGCATAAGACTTTGGCAAACACATGGTACTGTCTAAAACAGCTTTGCTCTTCATTTCTTTTTTTTTTTTTAAGGCCAAGAATTTGTTTATACCAATAATTATTTTTTTGACCAAACCACACTAGAAAGTGAAGACGTTATTTCGGTCCGTCATGGACCGAAGGACGGTCCTTAGGGCATTATCAAGTCGATTAATACTGACTTGATAATGGTCCAGGACGGACCGAAACGTCGTCGTCTCCTTCACTTTCTAGTGTGGTTTGGTCAACAATTTTCAGCCACGTTATTGTGACTCGTCTGCAATCATTTTTTATCTTGGTCTTGTTTTTTAGATTATATAAACACAGTAATGGAGACGGCATACAGCTTACTGACTCATGCAAGACTTGTATTTATCCCCAACCAAAATTGCTTAAACGTTACAAGCTGACCACAGCTTGTAACCATGAAGCAAGCAATCCCACCAGGTTATTTATACCGTCACACTACTGCAATTTCAGTGATGTGTGATGCAAAATGGGTGGCTTGTGTAGAAAAATATATTGGTATTTCAAATATCTTAGTACTGGATAAATAATTTGTCCTATATTAATAGTGAATTATTTCATTTTCTTTGCAGTAATCGTGAGGAACCAGCTGTGGAAAGGGCTTCTGATGATTAGTGAGTGCTCTTGGATTTAAAATGGGGTGGGGGGAGGGTACAAGGAGAGAGCAGCTCCAGAAATCTAAATTCATGGTTTAAAATGTACTGGGGGAGTACTTTGTAAGGCGTGTGTAAGGAAGTACTTGAACGAGTAATGCATTTGATGTAAACGAATGCAGTTTTGTTTGCATGTGACTTGGTCAGTGTACCAAAAGAACTCTTAAAGCTTTACTTTTGCTTTTTTATTTCTTGTGAAGTCCAGCTGTACTTTGTATAAAAATAAGTGATAAAGGGTGAATGATTTGAAGCAGTGTACGAGATTTAAATAAGGCACACTCATGCTGTACCATATATATATATATCGAAGCCTAAGTGTGTAGAACTAGTTCATAATGGTAACTTAGATTTTTACTGCCTGTTTAAGAAAACGTTTAGACGCTCCGAAATTTGTATAATGGTTCGCTACCTATTGTATAACTCATTGTATATCTTTATTTTGTAGCTCCAAAAGGCAGTGCACATGTAATTTATTCAGCTTTTGAAGATTTAGGGTGTTGCAACATTCTCTTGATATAGCCATATATACAGTAGTCAATCCCAAGCAACTATAGTGGTTGAATTTGACTTTTTTATATATACGTACAAGACTTCTTTACCCCTGACTTTTGTTTTGCCGCCACAATTAACTTGGGGTTAAGACTGGAGACACGGAAATTTAATCTTGAGTGGCTATTTTTTTTTTTTTTTAACTACAGTACTGTAATAAGAATTTTGGATATTACTTTTATTTCATGGATTATTAAAATTAAAATTTATAAACATCCTGCTGTATAATTTTTTTTTTTCCCCTAAGTAGGTGTGCCTTTATGTAGGTATATTGTATTTTTGGGGCAAAATTTATGCTCAATCAGTAAGGTGATCGAAAAATACGATTTTGTATTTCATAATTTGTAAACCTACGTTTTTTTATAGCTGTGATTTAGGCATTATTTACAAATTCCTGTGAATGTTTAGCAGGTCCATTCACAATTTTCCAATGTAAAGTGTTACAATTACAATTTTAGTTTTATGTTTAGCATTTTCTATGTATCCTTGTAGTGCCATTGTGTATTGGCACCACCTGATTTTCTTTTATGTAAAATCATACTTTTTCACTGTACTAATTAAATGAAGAATTTAATTTCATTCCTTTATCCTTTTGGTATTGTAGATTATCTAATAGAATTTCCAATGAAGTTAAAGGACAAATAATCTGCAAATACTGTATATTAATATACCAAGAAAGTTATATGCTGTAGTTTTCAAATTGGGTGCCAGTAATGCAATATGTAGACCAATGGCTGCTTTGCCGTCCCCCACATGGCCTCTGTCTCTAGGCAAACTGGATAGTTTTTACGATAAAGTGGATTGAATAATGGTGCTCCCCCTGTTTGACGCCTTTTGATAATTTACTTGCTTTTCTAATATGTTACGATAACAAACTGCATATTATTAAATGTGACCTCTATTCCCGTGATCCTCTGCCCATCCTATTGGCAAGTGGTTCCTTGGTGAGAAGGGGGACCTTGTACGCCCTTGTGTGCCCCTATGCCCTACGGGATTGAAGAATGTAAACCAAGTGAACCACATCAACGAAGAAAACTTATAACGCAAATAAGTTGTTTTATTTGGTTAGGGAAAGATTTAAAGTAAGAACTGTTCACAGTTTTCAACCACGTTCCAACAACGACAGTGCTGCTGAGGTAAGTTTAAAAGTTTTGTCCCGAGGGGCAAGTTTATTGGGTAGCGCCACTCATCCTGTTAGTGGACACTGCCATAGTAGCATGTACAACACTCCCAATAGGAAGCAAACCCAGTGGGTTCATCTTGTCAATTGTACCCCAGACACAGCTGCGACTTGCTTAACTGTCTCAAGTGAACAGCTTATCAAACAAGAATTAATTCATAGATAATTAAAAACTTGTGTTATCTTGCAGTGCCAAAATTGGGGAATATTTTGAGAACGGTATTTTCCTAACTCAATGTGGGGTTTACCTTGCTACATATTTATAATGTCTTTTACATTCTCTCTGGTCTTGATCGAGGTGGTGTTCGTCACTTGCCAGATTCTGCTGCTCGGCTGTTGTTTCCATCCCAAATCTCCATGGATATTTGTATCCTAGACGAATTCTTGCTATTTCCAATTATCCTTCGGCCATCTCTTCTTCGCCCATAATGATTGAGATTGTCAGATGCAACTACATTGTACCAGTGTACAGATTCACTGGTTTGTGCTTCTATCCTTTTGTTACCTTGTCACGGTGATGTTACCTGATAATACCTCTTTAATTTGTAGCAGCATCTTTGGTATGAAGTATCGGAGTTGGGAAGGGGGGGGGACATCACTGGTAACCAATCAGGAGAGGTTGGGCCGAGATGGAGTTCTGTGATTGGTCTGGGGGTTCCCCCAGGTGGTGGCAGTTATGAGGACAGACCAGTTTTCCAGTTCCTGGTGAGGAGGGCAGCTTGCAAGAGAGGAAGAAGAGACGTCGTACAGGACACTCCAGGACGATGAAGTCTTGAAGTTTTTAGGAAGACGACGCTGGTGCCAGTGGGAGTCGCCATTTTGGATTCCCATTGTGGCTAGAGTCCTGGTATGGAGGACGTCCTCAGCTGTCCTTCAGGTCCGTTCAGGCAGGATGTTTGTGTGAAGGTGGCGTATACTAAGCTACGACTGTGAGGCTACATGGCAAAGTGTTTATTTCTGGTGAACTAAATGGACTATTTAGTAATTAAGCGTTTTGCATTACTTCTGTGGACCCAATTTCACCTAGAAAAAGCCAGAGAGAACCCCCGAGTGAACATTTCTAGAGATAAAGAGCATAAACAAAAAAATAGATCAATTTGTGTGTACACAGGAGGGCACCTGAGCATCGACAGTAGAGTGAAGGCAGAACTACACCATCAGTGAAGGCGGACGTGGCACAATAGGCACAGCTTGAGGTTACATTGAGGTGCTTCCGGGGCTTAGCGTCCCCGCGGTCCGGTCGTCGACCAGGTCTCCTCCACCTTGGTAACTGTACTGCCACAGCTAATATAATACTCTCACGCGGGGTGAGAACCTATACCAGGTACCATCAGTAGCGCAGTGTGTGTGTAGCAGTGGGTTTTGTAGCCTTGCCCAGCTCTGTATGTACTCCTGCATCTTGCTTTTTTTATGTTTAGAAGAGGTAGAGAACCCCCAACCCCTATCCCACAAACAGGCGAAGTCACAATAACGTGGCTGAAGGATGTTGAGCAGACCACATACTAGAAAGTGAAGGGACGACGACGTTTCGGTCCATCCTGGGCCATTCTCAATCGACTTGAGAATGGTCCAAGACGGACCGAAACGTCGTCGTCCCTTCACGTTCTAATGTGTGGTCTGGTCAACCCCATCCCACAAGTTTGCTCCAGGAGGAGCAGCAGCAGCATCAGCAGCGATCCCAGCATAACAAACACGATAGAGCACACACTCTACTGCTTCTTAAGCTCCACGCTACTTGAAGCACCACCCGAATGAGATATAATAAAAAATGAATAATTTATTGCATTTATTGACAAGACGTAAACTAAAGTATGACCTGTGATCTTCAGCCTGGTAATGCTTTGCATATTAGTGGCTTCACTTGTCGCTGTAACTCTGTTCCCCTACACTTGTTTACCTCTTGCGTTCTTTGTGTGCACATTCTTATGACTAAAATTATCATTACACAATAATTAATGAAACAAATTGATTTAGTGTTATATATGTTGGTTTAGGAAGGACGAAGTGCGCACTGGTAACAATTCTAGTATCTGGCCTCGACAGTAATTGTATTGTCTATTGATAATGCTCACGATGAGGAGCTTGTGAGCTATGTTGGTGATAGTTCTAGCAAGTGTTTATCATCTGGGGAGGAATGGTGTAGAGAGTTCTGCCGTCTATAGTTCTGCTTGGCGAGAAAGGGATGGTTCTGTTGTCTATTCAACAGAATAGACAAAAGAACCTCACTTCATTCTAGCGTATAAGTGAAGGGTCTGTCGTCTATAGTTCCATTAGTTAAGCTCGATCAAGGCAGCGAGCGCCCCGGAGTAGGCGGCGTTGTAGTCGCAGGCGACCTCGTTGTGTGTGTAGTCTGTCCTCACGTCCGTGTACGAGTCGTCCTGCGGGGGAGACGACACAAGATATTACAGAGTGCGGTGTTTTGGGGACCCAGAATGCGGTGTTTCAGGGGACCCAGAGTGCGGTGTTTTGGGGCACAGAGTGCGGTGTTTTGGGGGCACAGAGTGCGGTGTTTTGGGGGCACAGAGTGCGGTGTTTCAGGGACCCAGAGTGCGGTGTTTCAGGGACCCAGAGTGCGGTGTTTCAGGGACCCAGAGTGCGAGAATGTGGTGGTTTCAGGGATCCAAAGTGTGGTGTTTTCGGGACCCAGAGAGACGTAGAGTCTACGTTTCTACGACACACTGACCTCGGCCGGGCCGCCGACGAGGGCGCCGTAGAGGACGTGGGGGTTGGGTCCGTCTTGGTTCTGGGCCCAGCCGTCGGTGCAGGAGGCTGGGGGCAGCGGACACGAACTGCGAGCACGCCCGGGAGGATGAGAAAGAAAACACACACAATTATTGAACAAATCCACAAGGGCCGTGACGAGGATTCGAACCTGCGTCCGGGAGCATCCCAGACACTGCCTTAATCGACTGAGCTACACACACCTTAATCGACACACACTTATTATTCATGTAAGTAACAATTTCCAACTCATTTGTTTAAATTATGTTTAAAAACAGGAACGTTTCATGATCATTTCAGAACTGAAACTTATATATCTATGGTTTATATTTTTTCATGTTTTAACTCGTTGTCTGTTGTGTTTATAGTATATTAAATAATATATATACGTATACTTGATCAACCAGGCTGTGACTCATACGTCAGGCTGCGAGCAGCCGCGTCCAACAGCCTGGTTGATCAGTCCGGCAACCAGGAGGCCTGGTCGACGACCGGGCCGCGGGGACGCTAAGCCCCGGAAGCACCTCAAGGTAACCTCAAGGTAAGGTATACTGTGTGGGTCTACCTCTCTCTAAATCAGGGATTATTTCTCAATTAAGGTCAGAGTTTTTTGATCACCTGTAAATTAATCTCTCCTGTCTTTCAGCCCAGCTTGACGCTGGGGTCCTCCAGTCTGTGTATTAGAACCATTATTTTCTTCACGTTTAAGCACGTGCAAACAGACATTTTGTTCTGTATAGTTTACTGAGATTTACTGATCTTACTTTTTCATTGAGATCACTGAAATCAGTGATCACTTCAGTGAGATATTTTTTCGTTTAATAATTGTATTATGGTCATCCAGCTGTTGGTCATTCTACACATTACAATGATCTATGCTTCTCTGTGAAAAAAATATAGACGTTAATGTGGTAGATTACTCACTGTAATCAATTAAAATTTTGAGAATGTCACTAAAAATACAAGAAAATTAACAAACTGTCAATCAGAAAACAGAAAAATGATTTATGTGTGTAATACAAGAAAAAGTAAGTATTGTAAGATACAGTGAATGTGCATGTGTGTGTGTGTGTGTGTATGTACTCACCTAGTTTTGCTTTAGGGAGTTGAGCTTTGGCTCTTTGGTCCCGCTTCTCAACTGTCAATCAACTGGTGTACAGATTCCTAAGCCTACTGGGCTCTATCATATCTACATTTGAAACTGTGTATGGAGTCAGACCTCCACCACATCACTTCCTAGAGAGTGCGTGTGTGTGTGTGTGTGTGTGTGTGTGTGTGTGTGTGTGTGTGTGTGTGTGTGTGTGTGTGTGTGTGTGTGTGTGTGTGTGTACTACGTACCTGGAGCGGTGATGGGGTCTCTGTGGAGGATCGACACCGAAGCCGACGACGAAGGAGTGGCCGACATCACCAAGGATGTAGTGCATCTGTCCCTTGGCCCACTGGCGGTTGGCCTCGGCATCGGCCTGGTCACCGTATTTGGCCGCCTAAGGAAACCATCAAAATATTTAGCGTTCTGTCATCCATGCCACTACTCACAACATGCCAGAAAACCCACGCAGACATCACAGTACGTACCCAGAGAGAGAGGAAGGCGACATTAGCAGCGTGGCGATTGGATCCCCACATGTCTAAGAAGACGAGGCCCTTAGGGGTGTACTTGGCATCGTTCTTCAAGTAATCTAGGAAGGCCTTGAGAGCCGTCTCATACTGGGCGTTGTCGGGGTCCACCAGTGACCCCAGAGCCTGTGGGAGAAAGAAGGTGGTGGCGCTAGTACTCTAGGCGCTGGAAACAGAGTTTGGAAGAAAGTGGTAATATTTCAGTGGCTATACAGCGGCAGGTTGTCCACACACACACACGTGCGCAACTTAAACATAGCGGATACTTAAGAATATTGATATTCATCGAATAAGATCTTCCAGTTGTCAAGAGGAGAAAGTGAGAGCATCGCGGAAGCTGGAAACGACGATGAATCAGATGTGGGGACACTGAGCAAGTGAAATGATTTACAAGGTAAGATAGCTAAGGAGACATTCTTCTATGCGTTAAAAACATAATAGTACAAGCGGGGGTTCAATTCCCTGCGTTAGTCGTCCGACAGCTAGAATGGTGGAGCCTCTGAGCTTAAGCATGGCCCTACACACACACACACTGTTAGCTAAGTCCAAACTCTGTCTGCCTCTCTCTTTCCCTCTCTGTCTCTCTGGAAACTAAAAGCAACTAACGTAGACTCCAGCCTTCTTATCGTCCCAAGAGAACTGGAGCGCGTCCTCTCCCAAGCTGAACTCGTCCCAGTGTTCCCGCGCTTTCGTCAGGTAGGTGGCGTCGCCCGTCGCCCTGTTGAGCCAGAGGGCCGCCCAGGCCAGCTCGTCACCGTAACCGCTCCAGGACCTGTACAGGCGGCACAACTGGTAAGCTTACGTCTTCTCGTTGACAGTCTGTTATCAATATTAGGTGAACAGAGGCATCAGATATAATATAAAGTGCCCTAACGTCTTACCCTGTCCAGGAATCGAACCCAGGATCAATCGGTGGAGATCCAAGTGCGATAATCACTGCGCTTCGTGTGCTGAATATTTGATGATAATGTTGGCGGTCAGGTGATGGTGTGTTTAGTTTGAGGAAATTATATTCCATTGGGCGTAATATGTTCGAGTAACGTTTAATAAACATTTGCGACATTGATTAAACGTTGAATCAAACGTCGTATGCTCAAATTTGCCCGCCGAGGATGAGATGAATTGGGTTTAATGGTCATGAAAAGGACAGGCAAAATTTATTTTGAAATTGGGGACTGTGGTCAAGGCCAAGAGTCAGTGACTGTCGGGTTGGGTATAAATTAAGTGGTTAGATCATTTAGTTAGTGACCAGGGGCCAGATTCACGAAGCAGTTACGCAAACAGTTACAAACGTGCACATCTTTTCTCAATCTTTGGCGGCTTTGTTTACAATTATTAGACAGTTAATGAGCTCCGAAGCACCAGGAAGCTGTTTATAACAATAACAACAATTGATTGGGAAGTTTTCATGCTTGTAAACTGTTTAATAAATGTAAACAAAGCCGTCAAAGATTGAGGAAAGACGTACACGTTCGTAAGTACTTGCGTAACTGCTTCGTGAATCTGGCCCCTGATTGTAGTTAGATGAAGGTGTGACTGATCTTTTAGAGCTGTAGGTAGGGAGACCTTGTGGCTTCTGATGGGTAGTAGGTAGTTGTTGTTGTTTTAGATTCAGCCACTCGGAACACAAAGTTCCAAGCAGCACGGGTTATGGTGAACCCGTCGTACTCACCTGCCGCAGAAGAGATGTTTCGGGCAGTAGGTGTGGCGACGTGTACACGTACCTGTAGAAGGCGGCAGCGTCGGTGATGGAGTTGTGATATTCCAGTCGCTTCTGGTCTGCAAAGTCGTACAGCTCCTTGGCTATATCCAATATCTGCGAGGCGTAAGCTGGGTCGTCCTCCTGCGGTAGAAAGAACATGGAAGATCGACGTGTGTTAGAAAGCTTTTTCATAACTTTCTACCTCAACAGCTTTTATTACCTCTCTGCATTTATCTGTGAACCACAGCACTAAACAATACGCTATATAATCCTCACAAATTCACTGAGAATCAATTTGGTGAACACCTGTTGAGTATTTCAACTTCGTGATGATGTATCACGTATAACAAGGATTGTGAAGCAGTTCTCAAGTCATAATTATGTCTTAGACAGTTAATACTGTCAACTGAGTATGTAGACTGTTCCTGAGGCTGCAGGAGGGCGCCCCGAGGCTGCAGGAGGGCGCCCCGAGGCTGCAGGAGGGCGCCCCGAGGCTGCAGGAGGGCGCCCCGAGGCTGCAGGAGGGCGCCCCGAGGCTGCAGGAGGGCGCCCCGAGGCTGCAGGAGGGCGCCCCGAGGCTGCAGGAGGGCGCCCCGAGGCTGCAGGTGTCGGAAAATCCGACACCATTTAATACAGACAGATAAGAGCTGTGTTGTATAAACAAGTTACCCATAGAAAACGTAACTTGTAGTGGAATTACCGTCTATAGAAAACGGGATATCATCACCACATACTATTATAATTCACCAGCTATTCTGCTGGGAATTGTTCTTAAATACATTAGTCTTTGGACTTTACCATCATAAAAACATCTTATATAAATTAACTTAATTATCAATATTAAAGTAGAGTAAATGTGACCCTTCTATCACTTTCTGAAATCTGGACAAAGTAGGCCAGGCGAGAGTGAGGAGGAGGGCAGCCATTGTTGTTTATTGAGACCAGAGGCTCACACGGGAGCAAATTCGGCTCCTGTTAAATTTACTTGGACGTAGTGTTATGGAACCCAAAGGTGTAACATTGTCAACACGCTGTCTACAAATACAAGTTAAGTGTCTATCCGAAACCCGTTTATCATTCATTTATGGCCATTAATGTCAGGATATAGGGTTAGCCGGTTAGAACGCGAAATCGCCTCAAACTAAAGGTAATTAAGCCAGGTCTTTCATGTTCCATGTACTGTATACAGTTTTCTCTGAAATACTTGTCATATATAGGATTCTGGCTTCACAGCTAGCGCACTTTTGACAGGTCAAGACGAGGATGCAAGATTATGTGCACCAGTTACTGGGTGATAGAAGCTACCTCAAAGAGGATAATTTGGTGTCTACACTCTAGTTATACCTGGTGGACTAGCCTGCTGTACTATAAGAGAAGGAACCTCATCAATGTATGTAGCTATTACTGTAATTTGATTGGCTGCATATGTGTAATATAAACCCCCCCTAATGTGTAGAGGATCGATTTGTGAGATTATGAGATTATTGCAGAAATACAGTCCACTTAACATTATACAAATTGCTATCGAAGTATATAAATTAACGTAAATATAAATTCATATAAATTAAATAAATATAAATCTCACAGGTCGGTTCCCACATTATTTGGTCATCTTCGAACCGGATGACGGATTATTTGATCCTTTGAACCCACATTTGGTCATCTTAGTACCGGATGAGCCAGTTAACCAGTGGATTCATTAAATATACTAGTGCAGTGTTATTTAAACAAGGCCAGCCAGTCAAAGACAGCGGCGAAGCCTCGAGGGAGCTCAGGAGCCTCCCTCAACTGAGTTCAGCCTCATCAGCGGTTTCATGCACACCCACAGATATTTGGTGGCGTGTTATTTCGTGAAATGACAGCGCTAATATAGAATCCAGCCAAATTAGTGACTGTGTCTTCGCGAGATTGTTCACGGATTTCGTGGTGTTACATTTCGCGAGAGATTATCTACGAATTTTGTGGACTTTATTTCGCGAGGTCACTAATAATATTTAATACTTCTAGATAATATTAGAAGTTTCATAGAGGCTAATTAAGAGGCTATTATCAATAATTGTGTATATTATTTCTCCAAATAGAGAATTATTTAATATATATTGCACTAGTGATCACAGTATAATATTTACTAATTGCCAACCCACAACAGGGTAGGATATTACCATTGACTAGTTGAACTATTATTGTTCATCCTAGTCCCATTATTACCATAGTCAGTTGTACTATATTCAACCTAACACCATTAATGAATGGTCCAGACCCTATTTTGGGTGTAATTTTTATCAACTCGAGTTGAGTTGTGTATATAATAATTTACTTATGATCATTACACCTTTGAGTGATTAATTAGTGTCTCTACCATCCTAGGGTGATATAGAGGAGCTAACCTAAAGGTACTTCCAGTGACACTGGTTTATCACTCAAATCATTAGTGTGTATGATTGTATATATATAATGTGTATTAATTTTAAGTGCTAACCTCTAGTAGAGGTAGGATTATTGCCTAGTGAGTGCAGAATTTACCCTAGGCTACCATTAGTACTTGCTCACAATTTATGAGCCAGTGGTGCCCAATTAACAAGTCACCATGACTAATCCACAGAAAGCAAAGCGTGCTTTAATATCAAGCAAACGCCAACTAACAAGAGATCTCAACCAATATGAACAGTTGTTATATGAGCCTGTAATTAATTATCGTCGGTTGAAAATACCACTGTTGCAGATTCAAACCCAATTGCATATATTGAAAGCAAATAGGAAATCTTACCAAAATCAGGTCCACGACGACGACGACATAGTAGTTGAAGATGTGGAACCATTCCTGTCTGACCTAGCACAATATGAAGAAGAAACTCAAGCCAGGTTGGAACATTTACACAGGATAATTGAATCAGAACAAATAGCAAGTACATCAAATAAAGTAGATAATGTTATGGATGATCTGGATCTTTTTGAGAATAAATGTAAAGCCAGATTAGATCCTTTAATCAACAAGGATAAAGCTTCACCCACTACAGCTTCACCCAATAATATACCACCAGAAATTAAGCAGTTTTCAGACAATTTATCCACAGTCTCTGTGGTTTCTGAAAACCCAATACCTGAAGCTACTAAGTTAACATGCCTCCAAACTAGAGGTGAAGCTGAACCAGTAGTAGAAAATGTAAATGAAAATAGCGACAGCACTAATTTCCCAGTCCAGCCTCCTAGGAATAATGCTGGCAATGAGAAAACTGTCATACATCTAGTACTACAATTGCTGGATTTACCTCAACCTGATCAGACTGCTGACTCATTACAATCCTTCAGCATGGAGTTTGAGTCACTACTAAGAACATTCAGACTTAAGGTTGATATAACTACTAGTGAATGGATGACCAAAGTAGTCCTTCAACGAAAATTGTCCAGCGATATACTAGATGAATTATATGCACATCAACATAACACCATCCTGACAGTACAGGACATCACTGAAGGTTTACATTCCATCATAAACAAACGACGAGCAAATGAGGAAGTTAAAGCCTCTTGCAAGCCTTCAGAAATAGAAAATAATAGTCAATTAAAGGGTAAAACAACCACCCCAAATAAACATCAACCAATTACTCAAACATCAAGTTGCAGAAAATCTGACAATGCAGCAGCATCCTCCAAGCCTACTGTTACTAGTTCACCCAAACCGGTAACTTCCAAACGTGCAGTAGGCTGGGGGACATGTATGTTCTGCAAAAAGAAACATTCAACATACCGTTGTGCTAATTATCCAACCAGAGACACTCGTATTGAGCGACTCCAGGAATTAGGGAGATGTTCGAGGTGTCTCAAGTCACACAACATAGACTATTGTGATACCCAATTCAACACCTGTAACAGGTGTAGAAGAGGTAGGCACCATGCAGCACTGTGCAAATATACGAAATTAACGTATTCAAGACCCAAGGTGGAAGATAGCATTCCCACCACAGTACAGTACTGCAAGGTGCAACAAACAAAGAGTGTCCAATCGGCAAAGTCTAAAGGTAATACGACTTTGCCTACTGCCCAAATTACCATCCTGAATAAGAGGGCCAAGGTCCATACCCGTGGGTTGTTTGACCAAGGATCCCAGAGAACATATGTCACTAAAAAGCTGGCAGATGAATTACAATTAAGGCCTGTAGCCCAGATGTCATTCAACATCTCAGGGTTTGTAACAGATGCAGGACCTCAAGTCTACCAGGTGGTACAACCATCAGTACGTTTAGGCAGGTACGTCTGTCGAGTACAAGCCATTGTGGTGGACAAAATACCAGTAGACCTACAAGTTCGAGGTCTGAGAGCAACAGCCAAATTCCTGAGAAATAGAGGAATAAAATTGGCAGATAATATTAAGTCTGATCACCTCACCGACTTCGGTCTTCTTGTAGGGACAGACTATTGTCATCGATTCATCGGTAGCCCTACTAAATATCAGGGTATAACCATGTTAAACTCTGCAGGAGGTAAATTACTCTCAGGCCCAGTATCAAGCCTGAGGAGACCTATGCCTGCAGATAAACATTACCAGTAGAAATCTAAATTTGTCAGCTGATTATATTTCTCCAGTAGCATTATACTAAGGAGATTACAGCTGACTATAGTAACAGAGGTTGATGTTAGTATCATCATTTAAAGCTGAAGATGAGTTCATGAGGCCTCAGTGGCAAATCAGTGAACAGTAGCCTAAAACAGCTACAAGTCACTGCGACCAATGTCACTGAACCCACTGCAGTCTCAGAACCATACTTTACTTTAATGATGAGCTATTCAATCTTCTGAATCAATTAATTAAATTAAACCCCAATAAATCTGATGACTGATTTGATACATTTATTATTTAATCAAGATGTATTCCATGGGCCTCAGTGTTTATATATCAGTGACCAGTTACCTGAAGAAACTTCAAGTTATATCTGATGTCACTGATCTCACTGCAGTCCCTGAATCATACTTGACTGTAGTACTTGATCACATTCAGTCTTCTGGGTTAAATAATATGTAATAAGGCTTGAATATTAGCCTTTCAAGAGTTGACAGGGAAATGAAATCGCATTAGACTTCTAACCCCTGCAACTCTAGTACGGGACATCCGTCCTGTACGAACAGACGCACACATGTGTGATTAATCTAATAATTCGAAGGAGGAGTATCGGTGTTCGTCTGTTCTAAAGAGGACTTCGACCCGTGAGCAGCCCCCTGGGGAATTATGTCGGAAAATCCGACACCATTTAATACAGACAGATAAGAGCTGTGTTGTATAAACAAGTTACCCATAGAAAACGTAACTTGTAGTGGAATTACCGTCTATAGAAAACGGGATATCATCACCACATACTATTATAATTCACCAGCTATTCTGCTGGGAATTGTTCTTAAATACATTAGTCTTTGGACTTTACCATCATAAAAACATCTTATATAAATTAACTTAATTATCAATATTAAAGTAGAGTAAATGTGACCCTTCTATCACTTTCTGAAATCTGGACAAAGTAGGCCAGGCGAGAGTGAGGAGGAGGGCAGCCATTGTTGTTTATTGAGACCAGAGGCTCACACGGGAGCAAATTCGGCTCCTGTTAAATTTACTTGGACGTAGTGTTATGGAACCCAAAGGTGTACCATTGTCAACACGCTGTCTACAAATACAAGTTAAGTGTCTATCCGAAACCCGTTTATCATTCATTTATGGCCATTAATGTCAGGATATAGGGTTAGCCGGTTAGAACGCGAAATCGCCTCATACTAAAGGTAATTAAGCCAGGTCTTTCATGTTCCATGTACTGTATACAGTTTTCTCTGAAATACTTGTCATATATAGGATTCTGGCTTCACAGCTAGCGCACTTTTGACAGGTCAAGACGAGGATGCAAGATTATGTGCACCAGTTACTGGGTGATAGAAGCTACCTCAAAGAGGATAATTTGGTGTCTACACTCTAGTTATACCTGGTGGACTAGCCTGCTGTACTATAAGAGAAGGAACCTCATCAATGTATGTAGCTATTACTGTAATTTGATTGGCTGCATATGTGTAATATAAACCCCCCCTAATGTGTAGAGGATCGATTTGTGAGATTAAGAGATTATTGCAGAAATACAGTCCACTTATCATTATACAAATTGCTATCGAAGTATATAAATTAACGTAAATATAAATTCATATAAATTAAATAAATATAAATCTCACAGGTCGGTTCCCACAGCAGGAGAGCGCCCCGAGGCTGTAGGAGGGCGCCCCGAGGCCTAGCTACCCTACCTGGAAGAGGATGGAGGCGGCGGCGAAGGCAGCTGCTGTCTCTCCGGCCAGATCAGACCCTGAAGGAGAAGACCACGGAGAAGTTTAGTGCTTCGCGTCGCTCGGGGCTGCTAGCTGGGGCTTGTATGGTCAGTGTTTAATTATTATTAAGTAGTTGCAGTAACGGAAGGCCTGGTCGAGGACCGGGCCGCGGAAGACGCTAAGCCCCGAAATCATCTCAAGTTAACCTCAAGGTAACGGTAGTAAATGTGAAGGAGGATCGAGTCACCTTTATTGATATATACAAGAGTTGTTACATTCTTGTCCTTGAACACCTTGTGTGTTCACAAGGTGTTCTTGATCTTGATCACCTTGTGTGATCGGAGCCAAGAGGATGTAGACCATCCGCTTGGTAAGCGGATGGTCTACATCCGGCACTAGTGATATTTTTCTCAGTGGCAGAAAATAAAAATGGGAACCAGACCCCCTAATAGTAAAAATAGTAGTGGTAGTATTTGCAGTAGTAACAGTAGTAGCAATTTTAAGAAATGGTAGCAGTGATAATTATAATAGGAATATTAGTAGTAATATCAATAATAATACTAGAAAAAATAGCATTAGGATTAGTTAATTATCAGGAGGAAGCACTAAGCCATTACGACTATATAACACTTGAAAGGAATGAGGATAGAGATTTGGGATAGGACGGAGGGAAGCAATGGTGCCCAACCACTTGGACGGTTAGGGAAGGAGGGAAGAGGAGAGGGGTGGAGGGAGGATGAACGCCGACCTGCAAGAAGGTAGACCGCTCCACCATCCAGTCCAAGTGGTTGAGCACCAACCACTTAAGAGGAGCAAGCAGTGGTAAAAGTGAAATCACTGACCTGGGGCTTGCTCGTCAATCTTGGCAGATGGTCGCTCCATGTACATGTCCTCAGGGCGGCCCCAGTACCCGTGGTCGATTCCCCCCTGCCCCACCTGGGGGAGTGATCAACACAAGTGATCAAACTCACACAATATCCGAACGCTGTCAGCTTATTTCACCACTTACAGTAAGATGTCTTCTCTAGAAGACATCTTAATTATGAGCGTACGGACATGAGTGAATGTCTTAGCGAGGGGAGTCTTAACACTTTCCTGGATTTTCGACTTGGACTTACGGGCGGTTTCCCTAACCACTTGTCGAATCACGACGTAAATTTACGGACAGTGTTATATTGGGTATTTACTACTCGATCGACTTGGGGTTTGTATGAATATGTTTACCATTAAATTTTTGTTTTCTCTAATAGGCACTGTGCCTATTTGAGAAAACGGCAATGTATTGTAACTTAGAGGAGAGACTATTGAATTGGTGTCACGAGGGTAATCGCGCACTCCACACACTCTTGTGTTGGCCGCGATCATGATTCTACATTTATATGCATATGTCTGTGTAGAGAATTTTATTCCGAACACTATACAAACAAAAAAAACGGAGTGAATCAAGTATAAACTTGAAAAAACATGAGCAAAGTAAAAACTTTTTACGCTCACGGGTACAAACACGCGTAAGATTCGCGTAAGATTTTATTCGCCGCAAATTTATTTGACGCTCTGTTGGCCAATTCTACCCATGTTCTTATAGAACTTTCTATTGCGAACACATTGCTATAAAAATGAAATACGTTGCTCGAGAAATAATGTCATGACAGTGAAATAAGTATAAACTTTCAAAGCGCTGCATCACAACAGTGTCGTCGCTGCTGAAATCACAGCTAACGCTTCGCCCAGTTCCCACACTCGTGCGGGTCACCCGATACCATAATTAGACATTGATAGGCATATGTCTGGGTGGGGAATTTTATTGCGAGTTCAGTGATATCAAAATGAGCGCTGTAGGATGACTGTGAGGCTGGCAACAAACGAAAGAGTATGAACATTTACTTCCTGTTTGGGTGTCACGGCGAGTCATCTTCCTGTTTATTTACTTCGTGGTAGGATAGCAAATGCTTGGGTGACATTTTATGCATATGATCTTGTAGAGAATTTTATTGCCAACGCATTGATACCAAAATGAAAAACGTAGCTCGAGAATTGATGTTAGGAGCGTGAAAAGATGATAAACTTTTTTGTGTTCACGCTTGAGCGCCCAGAACGCCGCGCGCACAACCCGCTTTTTTTCAGGGAGTGCAGCGTGCGCTGAAGTGTTAAGTTCTTTGAGTATATCAGCGGATAGATCACTAACACGCTGTGAGGTATGGTGTCTTAGGTGTCCTCCCGAGGACGTATGGGATGTCTTACCTGTCCCCAGAACTCCCAGTGGGCGGTGTAGGCCTCGATGAAGTAGTCCGTGGCCCATTTGACCGCCTCCTTACCATAGGCCGTTTGACCTGCAATGTGAGAAGACATTATATGAACAACCCAGCGGGTTTTCTTCCTATTGGGGAGTGTTGTACATGGCGGTGTGTCCACTCACAAGATGAGTGGCGCTGCCCAATACTGTCACTATGGCGGTGTGTCCACTCACAAGATGAGTGGCGCTGCCCAATAAACTCGCCCCTCGGGGCAAATTTTAAAATTTAAAATTACTTCCGCCGTCGCTGCCCCGCCAAGAACCTCAAGCTGTCCGTAGTAACACGGTTCCTGCTTGTGTTATATCACGTTTGAAACCCAAAAACCGGGATTCAAACAAAAAATTTGAAGTTTTGGAGACATTTGATGCAGTTTAACCTCAAATTTTTTGTTTGAAACCCAGTTTTTGGGTTTCAAACTCTATCACGAGCAGGATCCGTGTTACTAAGGACAACTTGAGGTCCTAAATATAGTTTAATGGGGGGGGGGGGTAGAAATAGCCTAAGCTACTTTATCCCTTTGAGATGTATTTTTTCTTGTCTCAATAAACATACTTAAACTTGATACAGTTTAAATACAGTCTGGTTCGCAACGGGGGACTCAATCGATGGTAATAAACGCTTGTGGGAGGGTTAATGATCTGTGAAAGTATTTGGCTTTAATCTTTTAACGGAAAACGGGCGACATATTTAGCAGAAGTTAGAAGAAAAAACAAAGGTTGTAGCGATGAGTGGGTCGAGGGACTATCTACAAGTCGGATTGTACTGTACATAGAAAATTTACAGAATAAAAAGTTGAAATTTCCGTGTTTGATCATTTTTTTGTTTACATTATAGAGTTTGTATTAGAGTTGGATTGCCATCACACACCTGCAGCCTCGTATCCGTCAGGGAAGTCGAGGAGTCCCCAGGCGAGGACGGTGGCCGTGTAGGACATGGGGAAGCCGAACTTGACGTGGTCCCCGGCTGGTGGGGAGGAGAGAGAGAGAGAGACATAAGAACATAAGAACATAAGAACAAAGGAAACTGCAGAAGGGCGTAACTATTGGCCCATACGAGGCAGCTCCTAACTCATAGGTGATGTGAGGTACGACTCCAGGCGTATGGTTGTGTGTGTGTGTGTGTATTCACCTAGTTGTATTCACCTAGTTGTGTTTGCGGGGGTTGAGCTTTGCTCTTTCGGCCCGCCTCTCAACTGTCAATCAACTGTTTACTAACTACAGTAACTACTTTTTTTTTCACACACCACACACACACACACACCCCAGGAAGCAGCCCGTGACAGCTGACTAACTCCCAGGTACCTATTTACTGCTAGGTAACAGGGGCATTCAGGGTGAAAGAAACTTTGCCCATTTGTTTCTGCCTCGTGCGGGAATCGAACCCGCGCCACAGAATTACGAGTCCTGTGCGCTATCCACCAGGCTACGAGGCCCTGTGTGTGTGTGTGTGGGGGGGGGGGGGTAGGTAAGAAGAGAGGGGGTTGTGTGTACACACTGTAATTTAACTAAAAGTCATATATTTTCTTAAGCAACGAGTCAATGACGTATTATATAAATCAATTAACATACAGAGCCTCCCTCCTGGGCAAATATTATCCCCCTTTACTACGTATCTCAAGATGTCTCTCAACACACACATTTTGTATCTTCCTTTTTCCCTCCTTCTAACTTCCTTTTAGCTTGCTCCCTGCCTCCTTATCTCTTTCGCTCTTCCTTTATCTTAGTATAATTTATACTTAACTCACTTGCATCACTATACTCCAAGAGCCTCCTTCACCCCTATTCTCCTTACCATCATAGTATCCTCCAGTAAGATCGTGACCCACATCTGACCCATCGTCTAAGGCGGAGTCCCACCTCCATGTGACCCTCTGGGTGTCGGGAAGGTGACCTGACCTCTGGGCTTCATAGAACAGGAAGGACATACACAGTGCCTGTAGGCAAGATGAGTGCCAGCATCAGAGGGGGAGGAGGGCTGGGGTTGGCACTGATGTGGACGGCATTTATACACCTTTCCTGGGAGGATATGCGAAGCAAGTTGCTATGATATTGTTTCTAATTTGATTGCAGATGGCATGAAAAAATGCGCAAGCGTTGCAATCTCATTTTGAGAGGTTATGTATGTAAGGTCGCGGAACTGGTGCACGGGAGCAAGCAAGGTGCTCACGCCAGACCTTTGAGACAAGTTAGGAAACTGGCTGAATGCTCCATCACTCCCAAAGATATGTTTTGTCTTTCAAAAACCGAATTCAAAGCCACATATAAATTAGGCTCAACTCGGTTTCATCAATACACCTTTTACAGCATGATATAATGTTAGTAAATATTTACTAACATGCAGTGGGAGAGGAAATGGCGAGTATAATGAGTGGGAAGTACACGAGTATAATGATTGACAGGTAGATGACAATGAGGGATCGAGTTGAAAATGGTCCCCTGTCCACGACACGTCACAGTGACTGACCTGACTGTAGTCGTATGGCCTCATGCCAGTCTCCTCACAAGGATTAGTGTAAGGGTACAGCGTTGTCCACTTTGGTCCTCCATCTGGGGATTAATAAGACAGTTGGTGAGCGAGAGAGAGAGTGTGTGAGAGAGAACGAGAAAGAGAGACAGAGAGAGACAGAAAGTGACAGAGACAGAAAGAGGTAAGAGATAGATATAATAAAATACTGGCAAAAGTAAAACCAGTAGATAGAGTGAGGAAAATATAGGTAATACTGGACGACAAAGGAGAATTTTATTTTTCACAAAAAACAACACAAAGCAATTCTTCTTTCCACCAGAACCCCCATTACCTCGAAGTACAAGATCCAGCACACCTCGACACACCTCGAAGTGCGCCACCATCACCACCACCACCTACCACAGACGTCGACGCCGTTCAAGGTGGCTCCGATGATCTCGGGGTGGACGTCGCCTGAGAAATGCACCTGGAAGGAGAAGTCCACCACTCCGCCTGTCCCCACGAACAAGTTATCGTCGGTGATTTTGATGTGAGTGTCATCTATCTTCTCATAGGTGCCCTGCCACACCTGCATCAGACGATGGCTCCATAAGTGGCTGATCCCATCTAACCCACATAGACAAGAGACATCTAATCCCTTATTTCCGACATATCTGACTTGCAGTCGTCTTAATATCGAGTGAAGCACCATTATCAATGCACCTGTTTGTGATATATCGATATAATGGACTAGCTTACCCGGACCCAAGAGCCACCACTTACATCGAGCGAGTCAACAGGTCGGTCAAAAGTCAAGATGATTTCGTAGCCGAAGAAGGGCTGGAGGGTTGAGGCCGTGAACTCGGCATCGTAGTTACCGCTCCATTCGTTCTTCAGGAGGATGCAGGGGCAGCGGTCCTCTTCAGCGCCTGCGGCTGCGGGGAAAAATACCACCGTCAGGGTAAATAATATCATACCGTCAGTTCTCTGTCTCTATGAATTACAGACTCTTTGATTCCTCTTAGACACATGGACTCACATTTTCCCTAGATTTGCAGGCACAAAGACTAGCACCCTCCTAGCCTCACAGAATCCTAGACTCACGTTCTTAGAGACACAGAATCCTAGACTCACGTTCTTAGAGACACAGAATCCTAGACTCACGTTCTTAGAGACACAGAATCCTAGACTCACGTTCTTAGAGACACAGAATCCTAGACTTATGGACATAAAGACTCAAACTCCTAAACTCATAATAGACACAACGACATAGATACAATTGCTAAAGAAGGTTAATTCGTACTTCTCCACACTCGAACAATGTATTTTTGTTATAATAACAGAATTAGATTTCACAATAACATTTCTTTTCATGCATAAAAAATACATAGTTCACGCTTTTAGAATCAGTTGGCCTACTTGGGGACCGGGCCGCGGGAACGTTGAGCCATGAAATCATCGCACGATAGTTTTTTTTAATACTAAGACATGTAATTTCATTCACATTTATCTGTGAAACTCCGACAAGGAAACTATTCTTCTATATTGCGTCAACGTGCATCTTGCGTCTTGCGTCTTGCGTCTTTTTTTATTTAAAGTTGGCAAGAAATTTAGACACACACACACACACACACACACACACACACACACACACACACACACACACACACACACACACACACACACACACACACACACACACACACACACACACACACACACACACACATGTATAATAATAGCATATGTATATTTTCTATCCCATTCTACAGGAGAAAACTTACGTCATACATAATTCACTCTCAATATTAGGACAGAATCCCAAACATCTGTCCGAGTATATATAGTGTCCGTGAGGGTATAGCCTGGTCTTGCCTGGTGCAGTACCTGTGTGGAGGAGGGCGGCGACCCCCAGCAGGAAGGTCCTGGTGAGCACTCCGGTCATGACTGCGGCAGGAGACACTGTGGCGAGGGAGAACGGACGCCTTCCACTGATATACCCGACCCCCACCTTCCTCTCCACTCCACTGATATACCCAACCCACCAGTAATATACCCGGCATAGCTTCCACGACCCCACCACTAATATACCCGACGTAGCTTCTACGACCCTATACCCGACGTAGCTTCCACGACCCTACATCCGACGTAGCTTCCACGACCCTATACCCGACGTAGCTTCCACGACCCTATACCCGACGTGGCTTCCACGACCCTATACCCGACGTTTCTTCCACGACCCTATACCCGACGTGGCTTCCACGACCCTATACCCGACGTAGCTTCCACGACCCTATACCCGACGTAGCTTCCACGACCCTATACCCGACGTAGCTTCCACGACCCACCACTAATATACCCGACACAGCTTCCACGATCCCTCTCCCTCCCTAATTATCACGGCCCGATGAAAAGTCCCACTGCAGGCCAATGTCCAGCACAAAGACAGTTGCAAATATACAGACCAGACGGGAGACACAAACGTCCAGCTGTGATACCCTTGCAAGCGTGCAGGTATTGCAAGGTAGTGTAGTCCCCTCTGCACCTATTGATCCTCATTTAAACAAGGGCCTCGCACATCCTTGCAATTTCACGTCAAGAGGCTTACAGACGCTTGGCTATTGGTGTAATTTCGTTGCGTTGAATTTCCTGAAGGACCTGGATGTGAAGCTCATTGGGAAACACATTTGCAACTCCCCTTTTTTGGCTTGGCAACTCATTGTTGCAAATCAAGAGTGAAAATGTGTGATGCATCCTGCGCATGCAAGCATTCATACCTCCGTTATTTTATCTTGAGGTAATATTAGAAATAAAGGGCATGGAAGCATAATATTAGGAATAAAGGGCAAGGAGGCATAATTCATTAGACCAGAGAGATATTTGAAGTCTCTGAAAATAGGGATTAAAAATGACTCGTTTAATTGATAACATTTTATAATATGTTGATATAATTCACTAAAATGTTCATTAAAAACAACAACTTATGATTCATTTACAAATCGTAAAATATAAGAAGTTTAAACTTGTTCAAACAATTAGTTATTAAACTGAGCAATACAGTTTTCAGAGGACAAAAGCCAGTTTTTATTGAAAAATAGAAAGACTATCTAAGACCATATAAAATATATATTACGATCCGGAATGCTCAACTCACAATGGGTCAATGAAGGGCTCCTGAGTCCTCTGTTGAATACAAATTAATGGTAAACACCAATTCAGTTTCATGAGGGGGGGGGGGGGAGCGCTCATGAAATTGTGCGTGTGCGTGTGCGTGATCATTCTGATGTGCATCTTCGGTCTGCAAGGAGGAAAACTTTTGATATTTTTTCCCTCAAGTATTTTCCAACATCTTTCAGAGTAATTACAATGAGAACTCTATTCATATTAATTAAAACAGAATATATTAAAATCGAGGAAATGGTGACTATTTCTGCTCAATTCCTTCTACGAAGAAATGCTATTTTATGAATATTTTCCATTTTCGTTTCCACAATGGAAACCTTTTTTTTTTTTCAATTTGCCTCATTTCTGGCCTTTTGACGAACGTCATCTTTCTCTGTTTTATCTAGACTGACATGTTTAAATCATTCAAAAGTGTGTACCGTGATATATGGCGATATGTGATATATAACCTTTTAAAATGTACTTTTTAATTATATCCAGTAACTAAAAATAACAAATGGCATATTTATCTTGAAATCATTGACATCCACCTGAGAGAACACCTCAGCTGCTGAGGCGAGCGTGTGTGTGTGTGTGTGCACCGAGAGGCGTACACACACACACACACACACACACACATCGTCGTAGGGGCCTCGTAGCCTGGTGGATAGCGCGCAGGACTCGTAATTCTGTGGCGCGGGTTCGATTCCCGCACGAGGCAGAAACAAATGGGCAAAGTTTCTTTCACCCTAAGTGCCCCTGTTACCTAGCAGTAAATAGGTACCTGGGAGTTAGTCAGCTGTCACGGGCTGCTTCCTGGGGTGTGTGTGTGGTGTGGGGAAAAAAAAAGTAGTTAGTAAACAGTTGATTGACAGTTGAGAGGCGGGCCGAAAGAGCAAAGCTCAACCCCCGCAAAACACAACTAGTAAACACAACTAGTAAACACACAGGAAGCAGCCCGAAGCAGCTGTCTAACTCCCAGGTACCTATTCACTGCTAGGTAACAGGGGCATCACGATGAGGGAAACTCTGCCCATTTATTTTTTCCGACGGTGCCGGGGGATCGAACCCCGGTCCCTAGGTCCACGAGTCTAGAGCGCTATCCACTCAGCCACCACCCACCACGTGTGTGTGTGTGTGTGTGTGTGTGTGCAACAAGGACTTTCTCTTTATTAGTACCCATGTAAAAGTTTGCAAATAGGTCGCCAAGGGGCTATCATAATACCATAACGGTGGAAGAGGCTATTATAATACCATAATACGTGTGGGTGCGCGCCAGCTGCTGGGCGTGAGTGCCAGCTGAGTGCCTTCCCACTGGAGAGTGTCAAGTACCCACCACCAGCTCTGAGACTTGCACCTAACGTTCCCATGGAACGGGTAAACAACATGACCTTCACTGACAGCAATGCACCTGCTTCTCCCACTGATGTTCCTTGTTACCTTTGTGGCCTCGAGCACCTGCTCTTGGGCGCCTTATGCACCAAGATACGTCGTACGCTGCTGGAGCAATGCGGAATAAAATACTGTTGAGTGCCACTTTAAAAATATGAAGATCAGGAATGACTAGTGAGGACCTTTGTGTGGTATTTGTACATCAGGAAAGAGTGGGGTTCTCTCGTTGACATAAAGATGGTTGGGGTATCTCACAGGGTCGGGTGATGGGTCGTGGAAGTGGTGGGTCGCACCATGGGTAGTGGAAGGTGCGTCGGGTATGTCAGTGGTGGGTCGTGGAAGACCCGTTGGGTATGTCAGTGGTGGGTCGTGGAAGACCCGTTGGGTATGTCAGTGGTGGGTCGTGGAAGACCCGTTGGGTATGTCAGTGGTGGGTCGTGGAAGACCCGTTGGGTATGTCAGTGGAGGGTCGTGGAAGACCCGTAGGGTATATCAGTGGAGGGTCGTGGAAGACCCGTTGGGTATGTCAGTGGAGGGTCGTGGAAGACCCGTCGAGTATAGCAGTGGTGGGTCGTGGAAGCTACGTCGAGTATAGCAGTGGTGGGTCGTGGAAGGTGGGTCGGGCATATCAGCGGAGGGCCGTGGAAGGTGGGGGGTCGGGTATATCAGTGGAAGGCGTCCGTTCTCCCTCGCCACAGTGTCTCCTGCCGCAGCCATGACCGGAGCGCTCACCAGGACCTTCCTGCTGGGGGTCGCCGCCCTCCTCCACACAGGTACTGCACCAAGGCAGGACCGTCACACTACTGACTTTGGAACTCTGAATCCAACCAACATATTTTTCTCACTATAAATTTCCTTCCCTTCGTCTCTAGCGATATATTTCGTTCTCTGTTCACTTCATGTTCATCTCTCTCTTTCATCAACACTTCATCAGGGAGATTTTTGACTATAGACATGACATTATTGTCGTATCACCGGTCTACATCCCGAGGGACCCGGGTTCAATCCTCGGGCGGGGCAGAAACGGTTATGCACGTAAGCTGACGCCTCTGTTTACCTAGCAGCAAAATAGGTACTCGGGAGTTAGGCAACTGTTGTGGGATGCATCCTGGGAGGAAGGTCAGTCGTAGGATAACGGGAATTACAACTATGGCAGCTATGCAGACTGTTGCTGGCAGATGGTGATAATCCTAATTTAGGATTCTTACAAATTAACAAATTAAACTTATTTGAAAGTTAACACATCTAATCAATTAGCATACCTGGCCAGATTAGCAAAAATCACATCCGACAGGACCCCCGCACACCTGGACCAAATATACACTGTCCAGCTTAGCGCAGCCGAGCGGTTAACGCGTCTAAATCTGTGAGTGTTTTCTGTAGGTGTGGTGGGTCAGGCGAGCGAGATGTGTCCCTGCTTCTCCATCAGGAGTGAGTGGGATGGGAACTACGACGCCGACTTCTCCGTCAAGGCCACCACCAGGTTCACGGGCCTCATCGTCCATCTCACCTTCGACAACCCCGTCGATTCTCTCAACGTGAGTGGTCGACTGTCCAGGTTCAGTTTAGAACTGTGTAAAAACCGAACCCCTCAATACAGTTTTGATGAGTTAGGGATGAAAAAAATATAAAAAACCCGCCCACTAAATGTCAAAGGAAAATCTAGTATTCTAATTATTATCAAAGTAATTTAAAATTGTCTTGATCCCGTGATTGATTAATTATTTTGCATACGTATACTGTAGTGAATATTTGGTTGCATATCATGTTGCATGATTTTTGTTTGTAGTTCATAGAAGTAATGCAAAATAATTATGTGATTTGCTGTTATGTGTCAACAATGCAAGCAATGATATACAGTATATCTCTTTATCAACACATACAAAACCTGTGTCTCTCCCTCCCAACACGTACCAAACCTGTATATCTCCCTCCCAACACGTAGCAAACCTGTGTCTCTCCCTCCCAACACGTACCAAACCTGTATCTCTCCCTCCCAACACGTACCAAACCTGTGTCTCTCCCTCCCAACACGTACCAAACCTATGTCTCTCCCTCCCAACACGTACCAAACCCGTGTCTGTCTCTCCAGTACTGGCAGGGGACGGTGGAGAAGGTGGACAGTACCCACTTCACGCTCACCAACCAGATTTTCTCCGCCGTGCCAAACGACGACGTCACGTTTGGCATCGAAGTCCACTTCACGGGCACCAAACCCATCATCACCGGCGTCATTATGAACGGAGATGATGTCTGTGGTGAGTGAGGGAGACGAGTTTAAGTCTGTGGTGAGTGAGGGAGAAACGTTGATGTTACGGACTATAGTTATCCAGTCAACTGAAATAGTAAACGATAGTTTTAGTGTATGTACTCAGTTCCCGTGTTTCCGGGTAGATGGCGTCGGTGACTGGACGACGCCGCACGCCCTAGACAACCCTTGCGACGCCACGGGCATGACCCCATACGACTACAGCCAGGTGAGAGTGATTGTACATTATAAATACGATGATTCCTAGTACTCACTTGGGCTGGACGGTAGAGCAACGGTCTCGCGTCATGCAGGTCGGCGTTCAATCCCCAGACCGTCCAAGTGGTTGGGGGCTCCATTCCTTCCCCCTCCCCCTCTTTCGTTCCATCCCAAATCCTGCCCCCTTCCCAGTGCTATAACAGTCATAATGGCTTGGCACTTTCCCTCTGGTAATTCCATCCATCCTTCCTTCACCTATACACATGAGGTCTGGGTGTATACGATTTGTTTAAAAAGTGATCGGGTAGGGGTTCAATATTTTACGGGCTCACCATAGCCGGTGCTACATGGACACTTCGTTCTGAGTAGCTAAATCTAAAACAAACAACAACGGGGTTCAATTGTTTACCTGTTCAGACGCAGAACAAGTGAATATGATTTGTTAAACAGTTCAAATGACGCAAGTTGAACGTTTTTTAAACGTTTTTTGAACGTTTTTAAAAACGATTTTTTGGACGTTTTTTAAAACGTTAATTTTCCTCACAATTTTTAAAGTTGTTTACTTTTACAAATGTGCCCAGAAGATAGTTCGGAAATTTCTTTTATAAATTGATAACAGCTGAACATAAACTGTGAACACTTGAACTCTGATAATACTACAACTTCATTCACCAACTGGTTCCTTTGCTAGTCAATGTTAAATGAAGCGAAACGTGTGCAAATTGGTGTTCCTGAGCCAAGTTGTTGTTGTTGTTTTAGATTCAGCTACTAGGAACAAAAGTTCTAAGTAGCACGGGCTATGGTGAGCCCGAAGTGGACTTACCTGGTACAGGAGCGGGGCTGTAACTGTTGCTTCTGTGCTGAGCCGAGTAATTCCTAAATGTTTTGGATTCTATTAATTTTTGGGGGGGTTTCTCATTTTTATATTTGCCTGTTGGTGCAGGTACTGTGCATGTCATACGTTTTCTATGAGGCTCAGCGCTCGGGTAAGCTGCCCGCTGATCAGAGAGTTACCTGGAGGGGAGACTCTGCCCTCGACGACGGCTCTGATGTGGGCCACGACCTCAGTGGCGGATACTATGATGGTGAGAGAGAGAGAGAGAGAGAGAGAGAGAGAGACAATGTTACCATAAACACAGCTGGTGAACAATTTTGACATTCAGAGCACTGTGAAGTGGATGTTAATATAAATGTTTGGGGGTGGATATAAATAGGAGCTGCCTCGTATGGGTCAATAGGCCTTCTGCAGTCATACCTTCATTCTTATGTTCTAAGTGATCACACTTACGACTAACACCACACACTCACGTCTCTCTCCTCCCCACCAGCCGGGGACCACGTCAAGTTCGGCTTCCCCATGGCCTACACCGCCACCGTCCTCGCCTGGGGACTCCTCGACTTCGAAAAAGGACATGAGCTCGCAGGTAAACAAAAAAAGAAACCCTTCTTGAGGTTGGGGACGTCAGACTAAGATGTGTCGCTCCTACAATACAATAATACAACAGCTCCATACATCACACCAAAGGAAAAATAAAATAGTCCATTCTTCATCTTGTCCCACAGACCAAGTGGAGTACGGTCGAGCGGCTGTCAAATGGGCCGCGGACTACTTCATCAAAGCCCACACCGCCCATTATGAGTTCTATGGACAGGTGAGGAGGAAGCCACCCAAGATGTTGTTTAAGATTCAGCTACTCGGAACAAAAAGTTCCAAGTAACACGGGCTATGGCGAGCCCGTAGTGAACTTACCTGACACAGGAGCGGGACTGTAGCTTGCCACCCAAGAGGTGGCACGGACGTGAATACCCCATAACCCAAGGAAGCCCCCACTCCCCCAGACACCAGCCACTAACACCATACCCTGCGGGCAGACACTAATTTGCAAGTAGTTTAGATTGATTGATTGATGAAGATTAAGCTACCCCAAGAGGTGGCACGGGCATGAATAGCCCGTAAGTGGTAGATTTTTTGGAGTGAATGTGAGAAGATTATTCGATTGAGTAGTTTATTCGATTGAGTCATTCATTATACATCCCCTTAGGGGGTATAATGAACGAGCACCTGAACACATGAATGAACGCTACAGTATAATGATCGGTAGTACAAAGAAGGTTACAGACGGTCATAGTAGGTTCAAGAACTGAACTCCATAATTCGTTTGGCTAAGCACCTTGCGAAACATTTAACGAGTTGTGACTCGAATATAGGAAGAGAGCGAACAGAAAAAAAAGAACTTGTCTTGTTTGGGAAAAGTTCGAACGTCATTAGTTTTGAGTCGTGTGTAAAGTGTTTGTAAAACATAAACTCCGCCTGTCCTCATCAACAAAGATTAAATGCTCGTTAATTCAGCTTCAAAACCCCTATTTCTTAAAATGAAAACTGATTTACACACGACTCACACCTTATGACGTTCGAACATTTCTCGAATAGTGCTTCGCTGAGAACCTCTGTTCGAATCGCAACACTGTAAAGGCTTCACCCACGTACTTCAAATTCAAATGATCGCCAACTGAAGCTAAACACCTAATCTAACATGTGCCTAAATATATATAGAACTTAAATATATAATAACATTAACATATCAATGAGAACGAACCTATTTTTAATACACAATGCATTCAAATTGTTGAATGAGTCTTAAAGGGTCGACCGCTGCTTCAACGAGCCTAACCTAAGATGCATAAACATAAATAGGATGAGGGTGAGGAAAAGGGAAGGACGAGGGGGTTGAAGGCTGGATTAAGTAGCATTTGGTCAATGTTTATGAGGCTGAGCAGAGTACACACACACACACACACACCCATACGTGTGTGTGTGTGTGTGTGTATGAACATTGTATGGTACTGTGTACATAACGCTGACCCGGTGTTCCCTGGGCACAGGTGGGAGAAGGGAACTTGGACCACGGCTACTGGGGCCGACCTGAGGAAATGACCATGGACAGACCGTCTTACAAGATTGACAGCGGCGCCCCAGGTAAGTGACTCGTACAGGTGTGGGAGACAGTTGAACCTGTGTGTGAAGGCTATTAACTCTTCTTGAAACCATACACACACATACTTGTGTAAATGTTAAACACATCTGTGCTGGTGTTACACACTTTTGGTAACACCAGAAACATGTGTGTGAAAATACCAGAAACACCAGACACATGTGTTGTAACAGAAAACACATACACTGTCCTTAAAACCTTCGTTAGTGGTTGCCTTGTGGGCTTGAGGGTGGAGCATTGGATCGGATTTCTTATGTCTATACCTCCACCAGGGTCGGACTTGGCTGCTGAGACCGCCGCCGCCCTGGCAGCAGCCTCCATCATCTTCAAGGTAAGTACAGAACGGTCTCTCTCTCTCTCTCTCTCTCTCTCTCTCTCTCTCTCTCTCTCTCTCTCAGAGTGAGAATCTTTTTCCCCCCTAAAGCTATTTAAAGTTAGGCAATTAGTTAAGTACAGTGGAGACAAGGGCCTACCCTGTTGCTGTTGACCTTCGCCCCCTCATTCCCTTCTCCGATCTGCCTTCCTTCCTCTTCCTCTCCCTTCCCCTACTGCATCTTCATCGCCTCCCTCCCCCATCAGGACGTGGACAGCGCCTACGCCAGCAAGGTGCTCTCCGTGGCCGAGGAGCTGTACGCCTTCGCTGATGAGGACCGGGAAGTCTACAGCAACTCCATCACGGATGCTGCCGCGTTTTACAGGTACTGTGGTGGTGCCTGGTGATGTTGTCTTGTCTGTGGGCGCCATATTGGCTTTGGCCGCCTTGTCTGTGGCCGCAAAGCTGGCTGTGGCTTCCATGTTAGCTGTCTTGTCTGTGGGCGCCATGTTGGCTGTCTTGTCTGGGCGCCATGTTGGCTGTCTTGTCTGTGGCCGCCATGTTGGCTGTGGCCGCCATGTTGGCTGTCTTGTCTGTGGCCGCAAAGCTGGCTGTGGCTTCCATGTTAGCTGTCTTGTCTGTGGGCGCCATGTTGGCTGTCTTGTCTGGGCGCCATGTTGGCTGTCTTGTCTGTGGCCGCCATGTTGGCTCTCAATCTAGGAACGGAAAGAACAGTTCGTTTGTTTGTCTCTTCATTACCTGTTAAAATTATATTTACGTAGATTGCTTTCTGCCTTCTTCAATTCAGCTATGATATTATTTATTTTAATTTGACTTTCTAACGTTTCTTCATTATATTTTTCGTTCATCTCTTTTTCTCTTTCCCTCTTTTCCCTCCCCAGTTCATTAATTGGGAGAGAGGGAGGAAATTGTATACCTAGGCTGGGATGATGATATCATTCGTGAATACCATGTGGTCGTAGCTTAGAAAAGGCTCATCGGCTCTTGTAAATAGTAAACAAAAAATTTAGCTTTAGGGCACTGACAAACAGGTGGAAAAATGGTCGGTAAACAATTGTTAACAGAACACCTAAGCAATAATAACAGAAAACGTGGCTGCGCAGCTGACCTCGTTCATCGTAGACTAAAATAAAGGCAAAATATTTTTTGTTAACAGAATACGTGTCAGTACGAAGAGTAAAGAAACTGACTGTTCTTGTTAAACGTAACTGTGAGGAAGTTTGCTGACAGTAACGAAGCAAATCAAAATGAACTTCATAGCGGTTAATAATATTGTTATTAAATTATTATTTTTTATATCATAATATTAATCGTTTTGTCGGAGACAGAATCAGCGTGTATCGAGGTCACCCCCAGTCGAACTACTGACCCTCCCCAGGATGCAACCCTGCTACAGTTGCCTATAACTCCCGGGTATCTATTTACTGCTAGGTGAACAGAGGCAGTAGGTGAAAGGAAACGTGCCCAACCCCTGGCTGCCCCTGGGAATCGATCCCGGGATCCCCCGATTGTGAGCCTTTCTTGAGGTTATCTTGAGATGATTTCGGGGCTTTTTAGTGTCCTCGACCAGGCCTACACCCCCAGGAAGCAGCCCGTGACAGCTGACTAACACCCAGGTACCTATTTTACTGCTAGGTAACAGGGGCATAGAGTGAAAGAAACTCTGCCCATTGTTTCTCGCCGGCGCCTGGGATCGAACCCATGATCACAGGATCACAAGTCCAGTGTGCTCGGCCGACCGGCTCCCATGAAGCTAACTTGTGTTATGGCACTGGGATGAATAACTTGATCACCCTCGCCCTAACTGTACCACCTTCACCGTAACTATCACCTTGGCCGGCACCCACAGGTCGTGGAGCGGCTACGGTGACGAGCTGTGCTGGGGAGCTCTGTGGCTCTACAGAGCTACGGGAGACGACACCTACCTGACGAAGGCCAGAGCGGCCTGGGAGGAGTTCGACCTTGGGACGGACGCCGTTCAGTTCTCCTGGGACGACAAGAAGGCTGGAGTCTATGTAAGTTGTTTTCCTTCAAGAAAATAGATTTTTTCTTTTTAATAACATGTAGCTATCCACCAAGATTCTCAGTTACATTGCTCGACCTTTCTCAACTTTGTCTCTTAAGTACAGCTTGCTTCTTTTTCATACTCGGGATCCACGGGTTCGATTCCCGGGAGGGACAGCACTGATTAGGCACGTTTCTTTTCACCTCATGCCTCTGTTCACCTAGCAGTAAATAGATACCCGGGAGTTTGACAACTGTTGCGGGGGTATGCATGTGTAATATATATGCCTCCTCACAGCTGTACACCTGTTCATTCTATTCACATCTATAGTGATTAGTAGAACTCCCAGAGAAAACCGGTTTGAAGCAAATATCAGGGAAAAGCGCTAAACCATTAAGACTATATAGCACTGGGAAGGAGTCAGGATTAAGATTTGGGATTGGACGGGAAGGAGGAGGAACCGAACCGAATCGAGCACTTAACCCCACGAAACTCTACTCCTTCGTCAGGCACTCTACTCCCAGATCGACCCGGCCACGGCTGAGTACAAGACGGCCCTGGAGACCTTCCTCAGCTACGTCATGAATGACGCACCCACCACCCCACAGGGCATGGTGTTCCTTGACACCTGGGGTGCCAACCGCCACGCTGCCAACGTCGCCTTTATTGCTCTCTATGTGAGTATGTGAGTCAGCCTCAGCTCTATATGTGAGTACGTGAATCAGGCTCAGCTCTATGTGAATACACGAGGAAACCTCAGCTCTGTGTAAGCCTATGAGTGAGCTTCAGCTGTATGTGAGTACATATATATTTATATATACATATATATTTATATATGTACCTTATATATGTATAGGGTACATATATATTTATATATGTACCCTATATGTACAGCAAGGAACCTCAACTCTCTATGATTAATCACAGGCATTTGAACATAGGAGAGTTAGGTTAACACAGGTTCGGTTGTATTTTTCACACCTTCAAAAGACAGCATAAAACAGGTAAGCCAGATTGAAGTCCGTTTGACTCACCCCGTCTCGTTCACCCCCGCAGGCAGCGCAGTACGTCGACCAGGCCAACAGCGCCCAATACCGCCAGTTTGCGCAGAAGCAGATCGACCTGCTTCTGGGAGACGCCGGCCATTCCTTCGTCGTCGGCTACGGTGTAGACTCGCCCCAGAGGCCACACCATCGCTCCAGGTACGTGTACCCACACACAAAACCCATACAGGGTTGTGCACATATTGACCTGTTGTTTACTAATAATATTTCCCAAATTTCAAGTATTATTGATGTGTTCCTCCTGACGTAGCTCCTGCCCGTGGCCCCCAGCCTCCTGCACCGACGGCTGGGCCCAGCAACAGCCGGGACCCAACCCCCACGTCCTCTACGGCGCCCTCGTCGGCGGCCCGGCTGAGGTCAGTGTCTTGCCTAGAAATATTATTTTTATCTCGACTTGGCATAGTTTAGGAGTTCCTGAGAGCCAGTTTTGTTCACGAAAACCTTCAATTATTTCATTCTTCTCGCTGCTGTGTCTCGAAAACATAGCTGTGGAGCACTGCATTCTCTATCACACTATAGTCATTCAACCCGTTCTCACACTTATAGTCAATACTGGCTTATTAATATGTGCATATGTGACATACTAATTTATTGTGAATATTTTAGTTTACCTTGAAAAGCTGAATAGAAAACACCGACCTAACCTAACCTTCTTAGTATGTTAAGATAAGGATCTTATTGGGTCATTAGTGCTACTGTGTACAGTCCTTCCCTTCTTGTCGTACAGGACGGCACCTACTCGGACGACCGCAACGACTACGTCCACAACGAGGTCGCGTGCGACTACAACGCCGCCTTCACAGGAGCGCTGGCGGCCCTGGTCGAGCTCAGCTAGACCAGGTGCTGAAGGACAGGCGACCTACCCAGCGGCATACATACAAGAACATACAAAGTCATACGTGCACAAGAACACATACCCATGACGAACTAGAGGGAGGAAGCACTGAAGACCATCTCTCTCTCTCTCTCTCTCTCTCTCTCTCTCTCTCTCTCTCTCTCTCTCTCTCTCTCTCTCTCTCTCTCTCTCTCTCTCTCTCTCTCTCTCTCTCTCTCTCTCTCTCTCTCTCTCTCTTCTTCTTCTTCTTCTTCTTAGCTTTGTGTATCGTCACGATAAAACACAAGTGGACCAGGATTTAAGGCCCTTGTTAAGTGCTCAATTCTGAGGATTATTCTGCGCCATAGAACCTCTAGCTAAGAGGTGGGAATCAAGAGCTGAAGCTCATTCCCTGCAAATATGTAATCTGGCGTGCCTGCACACACACATTCCTGAGGGAGCTGTATTACCCAACAAAGGGGGAAGGGGGCGGGGCTCCACCTGCGTTCTAAATATATTATGTAATAAGAAATGGGACTTTGCTTCCACTAATCCTTTAGAAGTGAAAAAATACATACACCTCTTTGTCTTTATGTAGAGGTTTAAGTACAGTATATAAAATTGGGCCTAAGATGGTGAATATATTCGGCCTAAGCATTGCTTATTTAGGCCTAGGACTCGTTAGGTTGTATAGAAACTTCCACTTTTTAGCGTGCCATTTGGAATACAAATATAAAATATATTAACTTTCTATTGGCTACAACAGTCTATTTTTGTACGTTCGACCAATAGTTGCTAGAGGTACTATCAGGTTTGGAGGAGGAGGATGGGCTGCTGCAAGCAGGTTAGGGTTGGAAGGGATAGTCATCTATCGAGGAGATAAATTGCATCGTGAGCAATTTGATGGTCAAGAGTGAAATGGGCACTGAGATGACTGAAGAGTTTTTGTCGTCACAAGAACCCCTCAAAAATATATTTCCTTAAACGCAAAGTAATTTCACTGCTCCTTAATATTATATTTTATGAAAACAAAGAGAATCTAAGTCGGGGGGGGAGGGGGGAGGGGGGAGAGTGGGGGGGGTGAAAGGACGTGGGGGAGGGGGTGGAGGGGGGGGAGAGTGGGGGGGGGGTGAAAGGACGTGGGGGAGGGGGGGGAGAGTGGGGGGGGGGGTGAAAGGATGTGGGGGAGGGGGTGGAGGGGGGAAGGAGGGGCAGAATTTAACATAAACTCCACTAACTGAAGACGTCACAAGTTCGGTAGCCAGACCATTTTTGCATAACAGCGGTTGTATTTATAAATACTGTATCCTACAGTATTTCATTATCACGTTAAGTAATAATTTCAAATGGTTGAAATGTTCATTTTTTGGGTAGATTAGGGTTGAAACAGAATATCATAAGCAGGGCTGGAGTGAATTTATCTCATTTCTTCCTGTGATTGGCTGTTGCGGTGAATGTCAACAAAGATTTTCTACCAATGAACTGCAAGCGCGGGAATGCTGCCATTAGCCCAACACCCTCCCTTATGGACTGCTGTTGGCCTGTTGATAGTGCAAAGTTATGTCAATAGATGGCGTGTGCTGTATCTTGCAGGTTGGCCTGTTGATAGTTGAATTTTATGCTGATAGATGGCGTATGCTGTATTTTATGGCTGCTATTGGCCTGACCTGTTGTTAGCGTGTTTTTCTACCGATAGATGGAATCAGTTGTATTATTCAGTGTTTTCTCAAATATAAAGGAATATTACCATGTATTAGAATTTGATGTATAGTTATGTTGATCACAATCGACTTGAGAATGGTCCAGGACGGACCGAAACGTCGTCGTCCTTTCACCTTCTAGTGTGTGGTCTGGTCAACAGTTATGTTTAGCTTAGGTTATGTTAGGTGTTTAGGTTCAGTTGTCAATTATTTGTAGTACGTGGGTGAAGCAGTTATAGAATTGTTTTTCGAACTAAGGACGTGAGCGCAGCACTTGTTCCGGAAGTGTTCGAACGTCATCAGTTGTGAGTCGCATGGGAAGTGTTTTCCATTCACAAACAAGGGATTTAGCAGCAGGATTAACTAGGATTTGGCCTTTGTTGATGATGAGGACGGGCTGACCTTTGGTGGAGCATTTAGAGAAGTGAGCTTCAATCACCGAAAGTGAATAAAGCACTTTTTCGAAACAAAAGTTCGAACGTTTTCAGTGTAAGTCATGTGTAAAGTGTTATAAGGTTTTAAGTACGAGCTGTTCAATCGAAGCCCCCAAATATATACATGCCATATAGTAGCAGTCAGTGTTTATAAGTTAGACGTAACTTGCACCTAACTAACAAGTGAAAACGTTCAAATTATTTTCGAAAAGGGATTCACTCACTTCCTGTTCGAAGCTCAGGGTATACAATGCTTCACACAGCGAGGCACCACGACCGGTGAGATGGACGGCGGCGGGTAACGAGACCAGCAAACTGTCCAATCACCCGCGTTCAAACGAGCGAATGACCGGGGGAGCATCCTGCTCCACCATCCTCCCAAATCAACATAGTTGAAACAATTGCTCAGTGCCCGAGCATAGGCCTATCACCATCAGCCCAAACGGCCATCTTTCTCACAAGTAAGTGATGCACTTGATGCAGGCGAGGAGTCATAATCGACTTGAGAATGGTTCAGGACGGACCGAAACGTCGTCGTCCCTTCACTTCCTAGTGTGTGGTTTGGTCAATATTAACGTAGATGCCGTTGTAAGTGGCCAGACATACCCTCCTCCCGCTTGAGCGACGGCTGTGTTAGAGAACATTAACTAAGATCGGCGGAACTCTTGTGTTGGTGAGAACTAAATTACGCATTACATTTGAAAGAGACAATAAACTAACCCTGCGGTCGGCAATAGCCTCAACTAGCGTCAATCGGTGTACTAAAAACACAATTCGGCTCACTTGGTCGCGATAGGTCAGCTGGGAGAGGTGAGGCGAATGTTAGATACAAATAGAGTTAAAAAGTAACTTTGTGAGAACAGTGAACTAGCATGAAGAATAGTTCAAACGAGAGATTGACCGGGGGAGCATCCAACTCCACCATCCTCCCAAATCATCAGCAACATATTTGTTTCATAGTTGAAACAATTGCTCAGTGTCCGAGCATAGGCCTATCACCATCAGCCTAAACGGCCATCTTTGTCACAAGTAAGTGCCTTGCTGTGCTTGTACATGTATAATTCAATACTGCTTTCTTTCGACATAATTGCACTGAACGGAAACGCGAGATATCGATCTCTTTGTTTATCGAGCCGGTTACTTGACACTTTCAATAAGTCCCAACTACGTTTGGGTGCGCGTGACAGGATGAGGAACGGAACAGGTTTTCTTGTTATTGGGAGATCATGTTGGGAGATCAGCCCCCCCCTCCCCCCACCCCCCGATCTCTCTCTGGGAGATCGCCTCGACCTATCACACCCTGGGAGATCGTCCCTCCCATCTCCCACCACACCCTGGGAGATCGTCCCCCCCCCCCACCAGTCCCATGGCAGGGGTAACTAACATTGACTTGAATTTTTATTTATTTATTTATTTAAGAGTTGCGATAAAAGAGAATAGAGTTTATTTAATGTAATAGAGTTGCATTGGATATTACCCTTGGGGAGGAGGGATACTGCCTCGGTTATTATTATTATTATTATTATTATTGTTATTATATAAGTTATCATGTCAAATGATTGTTATTTTTGTCGGTTTATAATATTCCTGTTCATTGATATATTTATTTGGCTTAAAAAATGTATTTTGAGGCTGGCACAATGATGGACCAGAATGGTGAATTTTCACTGTCTCAGTGTGTCCCCCTCTCCCCTGAGACATACACGTAGGGGACACTCTTCAGGCGTCACATACACGTAGGGGACACTCTCCAGGCGTCACATACACGTAGGGGACACTCTCCAGGCGTCACATACACGTAGGGGACACTCTCCAGGCGTCACATACACGTAGGGGACACTCTCCAGGCGTCACATACACGTAGGGGACACTCTCCAGGCGTCACATACACGTAGGGGACACTCTCCAGGCGTCACATACACGTAGGGGACACTCTCCAGGCGTCACATACACGTAGGGGACACTCTCCAGGCGTCACATACACGTAGGAACTCTGTAGTAAATATTGCACTGCGGTACATTGATACAGTAAAGCGTAGGATATCGCAACTAAATATGTATTGGCTCATTAGTTTGAGGGGAAAAAATATCACTCTGAAATGAATTAGTTATCTATTTCCGTTTTCTTTTTCAATCATTGTGGTTTACAGAGAACGGAACAGTACGACGAGATTTCAGGGTATTCTATGTTATCCATTGTTTGAACTCTCTGGCGTCCATTCTCTCTGGCGTCCATTCTCTCTGGCGTCCATTCTCTCTGGCGTCCATTCCCCCTTGGCTTCCATTCTCCCTGGCGTCCATTCTCCCTCCCACTTTCCCCTACTCTACCTCCCTCTTTCTTTCATATTGTACCCCTCTACCACCCTCCTTCTTCGTATACAACACTCAGGCGGGACCAAAGAGCCAGAGCTCAACCCCCGCAAGCACAACTAGGGGAGCACAGGATATGAAAACAGAAGGAATTTGTAAGGAATACTTTATTCATAACTCACACACACGTAACACCTCCCCCACACATGCACATGCACGCCCGGCCCATTACACAGGATTATCAAGCACAATATACAATTCATTTCTCGGAACAATAACCCGGTGTTGCTCCTATTAATTATACAGTCAGAAACCTGGCACGTGACCCGGATGTATACATATATATATATATATATATATATCAGTTGCTGATATCTTGATTAATATCTTCAGATATCGGGGGGGATTTTTATCTTCAGGAATTTACCAAAACTATTTATTATCGTGCTTGTTAACTGTGTTTGGGACTCTGTAATGCCCTCAATCCGGATGTGGTGTTGTTGATGTGGACAATTGGTATAGTTTGCCTAATGAGTGAATGTGTACCTCTTATTATTGTGAAGAAATGGGAATTGGAATGGGTTCAAATGAAATGGGAATGGGTTTTGCTTGTTCTTGGTTTCTATGCTAAAATGCATCATATACGCGTAGATATATCGGGATATGCTTCCAAATAATTTTTTGTGCAAGAACGATATATATACAGATACTGTATCGCAAAGAAGCTGAATTTGTGGACTAAAATCATATATATACACACACACACACACCAGCATACAACATATATGATTCCGTATTTTAAGTACACTATACAAAGAGAGCACGTATAATCCTGTGAATTATATATATACATCTTTAATAACTCCGGGTTGTGTCGTTGTGATCCGTGCCGGCCAAGCTGGCAAGCTTCTTGACCACTGTGCTATGGTCGCAGTGTATATTACAACATATACACTATACATGTACACTATACATATACAAGAGACCTCGTTGCTGTATATACATACTTACGTACAAGGAAAATAACACATTGTTAGCATATATATATATATATCTATATATATATATATATCTATATATATATATATCATATATATATATATATATATATATATATATATATATATATATATATATATATATATATATATATATATATATATATATATACATGTACAAACTTAAGGATAGAATTCTTCAACATATATACAAATCACTTAATTCCGGTTCGTGTAAGTTACATGTGTTTGCGTGTAATCCACACCGATAATGCGCAAATAAATAAGTTTATTTTGATTTATAAACAAAAATACAAAAGGCTACGTTGGATTCAGTTATCCAGGGACCTCTGAAGCTAGAGTCCGGAGAAGCCTATTCGTAGATTCCGTTTTCACCGCTTAAAGTTGTAACATGTGGGGCGGATTATCGGATTAAACTTAAGATAACGGGTTCAGTTACCATGGTAACATCTCCTGATGCCGTCACAGATGCTGCTTCCCCTCGTATGATGAACTGGATTGAACGCAAGACTTTATTTAAGCCTTCGCCTATATGACACAACTTACAACAATAGCCTAGTCTAAACCTACAAAAAGTCGCCCTCTTGATATGCCAACACTGCAAGTTTTGCGTATATTTGAACTCTGAACTTAACACAGCCAGCAAACGCTATTTGGTATACAGTTCTGACTTAGCAATTTTCAGAACCTAAACTTATTTTGCTCTCTGAAGAGACACACACCATCCCGACACTTGACTATTAGAACAAGACACGTGTATCCCAATTGAAAAAAAAAAGATTCATAACGTGAACTTGGTTTTTCTAGTTAATAGTTTTCTCTTTCCTTTCGACCCGATGATATATTAAATTTTAACAAGACAAAATCAACTTAATCGTAAGTTTTCGTTGTAAATTATGCTTAAAACTTGAAGCAGAAACCTTTTCGAGTCTGGAAAATTGATCCTTCAAGTTGAAATAATTAAATTAAATTGATCTTCATATCTGCCTTGGTCTCGGTCTCTCTTGGTCGAAGAAGAACGCGGTGGGAACTTCGAGTACACCCCTGAAGGCTCTGCCAAATGAATCTGAAAACGCACGGCCTTAGACATCCCTCAGAATTGGAACTTGCATTCTGTTTCCTTCTTTGGGGAAGGCGTCATTTCGTTCTTGCCCCAGTTGGGCATAGAGAAGCCTCGGACAAGCCTGGCGCCCCGTGATCTCAGCTGGTCCAGACCGACGCGAGGATCGACAAGCGCAGGCTTCTTCTTTCTCCTTTCTGGAAGAGAAAGGTGGTGGTAGTGGTGAGAAAAATGGTAGTTAATAATGAGGGTGAAGTGTATTAGGGGAAATGTGACAATGCTGTTGAAGTGGTATCATATGCTGTCAGTAAATAGATTATTATATAGTGCTTGATATCGGTTGAATATGTCGCAGCCCTGTTTACGTTTTTACAACATTGTATAATATTTCGCTAAAGGGGACAACTATTGCAAGATGGTTATACATAAGTATGGTGGTGAGAGAGGATGGGAGGGGAGGAGGATGGGAGGGAGGAGGAGGAGAAGGATAAGAGGGAGGAGGAGGAAAGTCCAGAAGGGTAGGAGGGATCTGGATTTCGAAGAAGGATAGAGACCTATGGCCAGGTACAAGACTCCGTGCTTCAAGGAAAGGAGTAGGCAGGCAGGCAGGCAGTCAGGGAGATGAGATCTTACCTGCCACGTACGCTGGGGGAGTCTGAGGCTGGATGCTGAGGAAGAAGTGATCTCTCAGATTCTCCGGCAGCGACGAAAGCAGTTTGGCCCTGATCTGCGTCACCACGCTGGGAACGTACCTCGTCTGCGTAACGAAATGAACCATTTAACTCCCCCCAAAAAACAGTGACAACGTTGTATGATACGAAGAGGGTGGAATACCTGAGATATTATATTCACATGAGAGGCAAGTCAACACAGCGACTTCCAAGAACATCGTTTAAGGTGTAATTTAACCGCCTCACCTTCTACCAGTCATTATGAATGGGCCCATTAAATTACCTTAGGGTCGTCCCCAGCAACAGCATCAACCATGTCATCAATGACCTCTCTGATCTTCTCCGAGGGCTTGGCTCTGTTGAGGTGCATGGAGATGGTCGTCTTGAAGTCCTTGATGTACTCGTCACCGTAGGACTTCTTGACGTCCTCAGAACACTCCTGCCAGAACCTGTCAAGGGCGCTGTGGATGGGTCCTTCTTGACTGATGGGTGTTCTGTGGAGCGTAGGGAAAATACATATATACATGTGTGACTGTGTCAGACCAAGGAGGAAAATTGAAACAGGAATTTCCTTAAGTACTTTCGTATATTAATACATTTTCAGAAGGAGTCTGAAGGAGTTTCGTGATTTACACACATATATATATATGTGTGTGTGTTTGAAGCATTGTTTAGGGTGTTGTATGTGGCACTCGTAGGGGTCATCTGAACTACCTAGCAACAGTATGACACAGGTGTCATCTTGACTCCCTAGCAACAGTATGACACAGGTGTCATCTTGACTCCCTAGCAACAGCATATGACACTTGCAGGTGTCATTTTCAGTAAGCAAACGTCATATTAATATGTCTGTAAACATTTGTAAGACTTGAGCATTAAAAATGTTTGAGAAAGTGTTTACCACAGTGCAAATAAGTGCGGGAATGCTATCGTTCACCAAGACACTTGCGCACGTTATGACATGTGGGGGGGAAGAGCTGGCCTACGTTGGGATTCACGAAACATATATGTAAATAATTACGAAACCTGTACATCTTTCCTCAATCTTGGCGCCTTAATGTACATTTATCCAACAGTTTATGAGCTCAAAAAGAAACTACGAGGTTATTTATAACAATAATAACCTTGGGTTACCCTTCCCAGGACCCCACCCTTCCCCAGGACCCCCACTCTTCCCAGGACCCACCACCCTTCCCCAGGACCCCCACTCTTCCCAGGACCCCACCACCCTTCCCAGGACCCCACCACCCTTCCCAGGACCCCACCCTTCCGAGGACCCCATCCTTCCCCAGGACCCCCACCCTTCCCAGGACCCCACCCTTCCCAGGACCCCACTCTAACCAGGACCCACCTGTAGAGGGTAGGCTCGACGGTGTGGACAGAGATACCCCACTTCTGCATCTCGAGTCTGAGGCCGTCGGCGAAGGAGACTGTAGCGTGCTTGCTCATGCTGTAGGCGGTGAAGCCCGGGAAGGTGTAGCGGCCTGGCGGTGACAGAGGGAGAGGCACAGGTGATATACAGCTGGGGAGTTAGTGTGCAATATAAGAATGTTGCAGCTGCTACACAAGAAGGGATATAAACATGGACTCACAGTACGCCAAAGTGACGGTATTATTGTATTTCACAGCAACACACACACACACCATACACAGTTTCCAATGTAGATATGATAGCGCTCGAGAAGCTTAGAAATTCACGAAGCAGTCGCGCAAGCACTTACGAACCTGTACATCTTTTCTCAATCTTTGGGGGCTATGTTTACAACTATTAAACAGTTAATGAGCTCCGAAGCACCAGGAGACTGTTTTATAACAATAACAACAGTTGATTGGGAAGTTTTCATGCTTGTAAACTGTTTAATAAATGTAAACAAAGCCGCCAAAGATTGAGGAAAGATGTACACGTTCGTAAGTGCTTGCGTAACTGCTTCGTGAATCTGGCCCCAGGAATCTGTACACCAGTAGATTGACTGTTGAGAGGCGGGACCAAAGAGCCAGAGCTCAACCCCCCCTCAAGCACAACTAGGGGAGTACACAGCTTCAGTGACGACACTGCTATAAGAACGCTAACCAAAGCGAAGTTGAGAAGAATGAGGTAACATATATTATACAAAGAATATGTTAATAACATGTAAATACAGACCACACACACACACATGACTTGGCTACAGACACAAACCCCCGACACTTCCTCGTCTCGACCTTCCTGGCTCCCTCCTCCCAACCTCCCTAAGGAAGACAAGATCTTGCTTGCATCAGACGGACCCCCTTAAAAAAATTTGTTGAACTAAACAAAGACTTTAAAGAAAAATGACGAAAGAATGTCAAGGTTGAATTACACCTATAATACCACTGTGTGTGTGTGTGTGTGTGTGTGTGTGTGTGTGTGTGTGTGTGTGTGTGTGTGCGTGCGTGCGTGCGAGCCGCGCCTACTTTGTAAACAAGATAGGTGGCCTAATCTTTTATTATACATATTCGCAAGTCACCCCGAAAGAATCAAGAAGAAAATTGGTGTGTGAAAATGGCATTTATAGAAGACTATTTTGTTCTTTTAAGTACGCTGATGGAAGCCAGTTTTACTCTTTTTTTCTCTCATTCCTTTTTTTAATGTAAGAAGAGACACACGAATCTGCGGAGTCTTGTTTGCAGGCCCCAAGTTCCCTCTCCCACAGTTTTGTGTTTGTAGGCTAAGCGCTCACTCTCCCACAGCTGTTTTCCCACAAACAACGCAAACCGCCAATAAATTTACAAACATGTCCCCCAATTTCTACCCCTTTTTACTAACCACTGCATACTCTATTAACAATCAGAAACAGCTAAATCATCTATTGTACCATTTACTTTGGTCGTTTAACATATGTATACCAGTGGTTTGCGAGGAAATGGAAAAAACCAAATGTATATTACATGAGGAAAAAATGGGTGAAATTTGAGTAGGAGAGAATTATGAGTATGATGAGGCTGCTGTGAGATATTGTCCGAGTAACCTCGTCCGATTCTCTGTAAATTAGCTTCTAATTCGTTCCAGGTTAGTGTTCGGAGAACCCCGGGATTGATATCTCCCCTTAGGGGCTGGTTGTATACTAGCCGGAGTCTATCTACTACCTGGAGTCTACCCCTGCACTACGAGGTAGATAACGACGAGGTCTACGTACATAACACCTCCTCCTCTTTCCCCACACACAAACACACACACACACCAATGAAGGTGTTGTCTTGAATTGAGTTAACGTCTGTGGTCTGCTTGCGATATTTAATTTATCGTAGCAATAATTGAGCAGAAGCTTGTCTGGAGCGTGTTATATGTTGGGTTTTGGGAGTGGAGGGTTGGGGTGTTGGGGGTGTTTGGTGGGTTGGGGGCAAGGGGAAGGTTAGGGTCTTCGAGAGGCCTTGACCATTTCAGCTTGTCATTGACTACACACCACACTATATAACACCCCACTGTTCCACGCCACACCTGCGCCACACCACACTGTACCACACCACACCTGTGCCACACCACACTGTGCCACACCACACCTGTGCCACACCACACTGTACCACACCACACCTGTGCCACACCACACTGTACCACACCCCCACATAAAGATACAGACACACCAGAAAGCCTACGTCAGTAATCAACGTCTCCACACAACACAAAAGTCTTAATTGCCGAGTGACGTCGCTTGAACTTGAGGACGCGCCCAGACCAACCTCTGACGTACGCCAACAGTGGCCAAAGTTACATACAATGTTTGTTTTTTTTGGTACTACAGCGACCAGCCAATTGGTACCGAGGAGCAATGTTTACATGTCGAGGGCTCCTTGGGGGGGGGGGGGAGTCCCAAGGCGATATTAGTGTTTACACTTACGAGTGTGTTTATTTAGATGTTTATAAGAGGCGAGGATATGTGTGTGATGTAAACACGCGGGTATATAGTGATACGATATTTAGAACATTTCTATATCAACATTAACAGCTTGAATGTTTACGCTGTAGAGTTATGTAAGTTATTATTGTGTTGGGTGGTGGGGGTGGGGGTGTCAGTGTGGGGGGAGGAGGGAGGGAAGTGCGCTCACAGAGCCAGAAAGGGAGGTCTCACAGAGCCGGGAAGGGGGAAGGGGCTCACAGATCTAGGAAGGGGGAAGGGGCTCATAGAGCTAGGAAGGGAGAAGGGGCTCACAGAGCCAGGAAGGGAGGTCTCACAGAGCCGGGAAGGGGGAAGGGGCTCACAGAGCTAGGGAGGGGGGGGGGTGGGGAGCTCATAGAGTCAGGGGGGCTACGGGATCCGTCAAGGAGTAATTACCTAAGTGTAGTTACAGGATGAGAGCTATGCTCGTGGTGTCCCGTCTTCCCAGTACTCTTTGTCATATAACACTTTGAAACTACTGACGGTTTTGGCCTCCACCACCTTCTCACTTAGCTTGTTCCAACCGTCTACCACTCTGTTTGCAAAAGAAAACTTTCTAATATTTTTTCGGCACCTTTGTTTCCTTAGTTTGAATCTGTGTCCTCTTGTTCGTGAAGTTGCTGGTTTCAGGAATTCCTCTGTCAATTTGGTCGATTCCTGTTAGTATTTTGTAAGTGGTGATCATATCACCTCTTTTTCTTCTATCTTCTAGTTTTGGCATGTTTAACACCTCTAGTCTCTCCTCGTAACTCTTGTCTTTCAGTTCCGGAAGCCATTTTGTAGCATGCCGTTGCACCTTTTCCAGTTTATTTATGTGCTTCTTGAGATTTGGGCACCATACAACTGCTGCATATTCCAATTTTGGTCTCACAAAAGTCATGAACAGTTTCTTTAGTATTTCACCATCCATATAATTAAAAGCAAGTCTGAAGTTGGAAAGCAACGCATACGCTCCTCTCACAATGTTCTTTGTGTTCCTCTGGTGACAGTTTACTATCCAAAACCACCCCTAGGTCTCATTCTTTATTAGAGTTCTGTAATTCCTTTCCACATAATTTGTAAGTTGTGTGTGGTCTATTTTCTCCAATTCCACATTCCATAACATGGCATTTATTCACATTGAATTCCATTTGCCACTTGACGCTCCAAGCACTTATTTTATCTAGATCAATTTGAAGGGCATTACAATCGTCTGCATCTCCTATCTTCCCCAGTATCTTAGCATCATCCACAAACATGTTCATATAATTCTGTATTCCTTCTGGTAGATCGTTTATGTAGACGATGAACATTACTGGTGCAAGAACTGAACCCTGTGGTACTCCGCTAGTAACACTCCTCCAGTCAGATACATTGTCTCTGATTACTGCCCTCATCTGTCTGTCAGTTAAAATTTTTCATCCATGTCAGAAGTCTCCCTGTCACCCCTCCAGCATGTTCCAGTTTCCAGAACAGCCTCTTGTGTGGGGACTTTGTCAAAAGCCTTTTTTTAGGTCCAGATAGACAGTCAACCCTACTACCTCTTTCCTGTAGTATCTCTGGCTCTATTATAGAAACTAAGTAGATTTGTTACACAGGATCTTCCTGTTTGAAAACCATACTGTTTGTCTGTTATTATGTCATTACTCTCTAGGTGTTCAATCCATTCAGCTTTAACTACTTTTTCTAGTGTTTTGACTACCACACTTGTTAATGATACGGGTCTATAATTTAGAGGTTCCTCTCGACTACCATTTTTATAGATTGGTACTATGTTTGCCTTTTTCCATATATCTGCTAAGATTCCTGTGCACAAGGATGTCTGGAATATTAATTGGAGTGTGTATGCGCGTGCGCGAGGAAGCGCACCTACGTGCGGGGTGTACATGAGCAAGGGCACGTGCGATAGTGTACACCGGTTGCCTATTTGATTAAGGTCCCTTGTGTACTGCGAAGCGGTCCCTGTGACGTAAAGATGTCCCTTGTGAACTGAGAGATGATCCTTGTGACTCGGAGATGACTGGTGCTAGTCTCGCTCTTCGTAATTCTCTAACGTTACTGCTACTGCCTCGTGCTACCTTCTGTTACTGCTACAGTTATTGTCCCAGCCGTGTCTGCGTGCCAGAGACAGGATGAACAACCCAGCGGGTTTTCTTCCTACTAGGGGGTGTAGAACACACCACTACGGTGGTACACGTGCTTTCTAGTGTTGTTAGTTGGTCCTTTATCAAAACGTGACTGGGTGGAAGAGGAGGGGGAAGGGGGAAGGGTAGTGGAGGAAGGGGAGGATTGGGTGTGCAAGTTCCCCGACTACTAACGAAGAGGTCACGCTCAAAAAGCCCAGAGTTCCGACTAAGGCACACAGGACTCCATTGTTGTGCGGACCTTCGCCTGGGATCCGCTTCGGTAATCTGGCATACGTAGGAGGCTGTTGTGACGACAGTCGTTCCCCGAGGGTCAAGCCCGAGGGTCAGGCCTGAGGGTCAAGCCTGAGGGTCAAGCTCGAGGGTCAGGCCTGAGGGTCAGGCCCGAGGGTCAGGCCCTAGGGTCAGGCCCTAGGGTCAGGCCCTAGGGTCAGGTCCTAGGGTCAAAGTGGAGTCGGAAGATCTCAACAGCGGGCAGCAGAGATTGTTCATATTTATATGGGAGTTTGGGGATGAGTAGTGTAGGTGTAGTAGTCTAGGGTGGTGTAGGTGTAGTCTGGGGTGGTGTAGGTGGAGTAGTCTAGGTGGTGTGGGTGGAGTAGTCTAGGTGGTGTGGGTGGAGTAGTCTAGGTGGTGTGGGTGGAGTAGTCTAGGTGGTGTGGGTGGAGTAGTCTAGGTGGTGTGGGTGGAGTAGTCTAGGTGGTGTGGGTGGAGTAGTCTAGGTGGTGTGGGTGGAGTAGTCTAGGTGGTGTGGGTGGAGTAGTCTAGGTGGTGTGGGTGGAGTAGTCTAGGTGGTGTGGGTGGAGTAGTCTAGGTGGTGTGGGTGGAGTAGTCTGGGTGGTGTGGGTGGAGTAGTCTAGGTGGTGTGGGTGGAGTCGTGGTGGTGCTGTGTTTGGGAACAATACAACAGGACGCTGGCACCGGACGCCAGCCCACAGGATACAATAGAAGGTGCCATGTTTGAACCCTTGACCTAAATTTCTAGCTCCAATACCTTCTCCCAGGCCTACACCCTCTACCAGGCCTACACCCTCTACCAGGCCTACACCCTCTACCAGGCCTACACCCTCTACCAGGCCTACACCCTCTACCAGGCCTACACCTCCCAGGCCTAAACCAGAAGACATCGTTTGAGAACTTCCTAAATATGTCATTTAATACCCAAAAATAAAATGAAATACAATTAATATTAGTGCAAAAATTGCTAGGAAAGCGTCCATTTCCATTTTGTTATTGGATAATAATAGCCTCTTTTTTTTACACTGGTGACACCGGTGAAGGGGTAACACAGGTGTTCCTGGTGAGCAGCGACATCTGTGGCCAGTCACTGATTTACCCAAGGGGGGGGGGGGACGGGGTCTTGCGATTGTACTAAGACTGGTGCCTCTAAAGATGGCAAGTTGTAAGAAAACCAATATTTATACGAGAAGACATTTTCCGAACTGACTGACACACACACACACACACACACACACACACACACACACACACACACACACACACACACACACACACACACACACACACACACACACACACCTGTACTGAAGGGCCTCACGAACGCAGGAATGCCTACAATAGCTCTTTATAGAGCACAGTACATCCAGTGGTATTGTGTAGTGTTGATAACACTGTTCCTTTGTGTGTGTGTGGCTCATATGTTGTCTCTACTTCTCATTTTGTGGTGATCAATGTAGCTGTTGTTATTGCAGTTATTGACTCAATTGTTACTTAAGATAGTTGAGCATCTTGATGTATTCTAGGTGTGTGTGTCGACCGCCCTCGCACCCTGGGTGCTAGGGCTGGCGGTGTACGATATCATCCTAGTTCGATGCCCTACGTACCAACAGCTGAAGTGAACCGAAGCCATTAAACACTTCAAGTATGAATCTGATGCTATAAGAGGGTAATATGTTACTTTTCATTGACCTTGAATTATAGACACTACCCTCATTCTTCGTGGATTTGGGGCACTTCGCAGTTCCGTCGAAGTGATTCGTAAGTTCTTCGAAGTTCTTGGCTAGTGAGTCGCAGTGCTTGGCCGGCGGGTCGAAGTACTTTGAAGGCGGGTCGCAGTGCTTGGCCGGCGGGTCGAAGTACTTTGAAGGCGGGTCGAAGTGCTTGGCCAGAGAGTCTAACGAAGTGCTTTGCAGTCCCTAGCCAGCAAAACTACCCCCCTCCCCCCTATTCCCTTAGCAAACAAAACATTCACCCCAACAAACAATGCATAAGAACCACACATACAAACCAGCAAATCGCTAACCAAAACCCGCCGACGGCTTCACGTACCGCCCTCAAAACGCCCCGTCACACCATTATCACCCAGCCTCCATCTTCGCCTTCAGCGTCCGCAGCAGCGCCCTCGGGAACACACACTCCTGCGGCCTCGTCAGCAAGGTAAACAACAGAGCCAAAACAAAATCACCTAAAAGGACACCGACACAGGGGGATTCCGGCCATCGGCGCCTCTTCCTGAGGGTGGAAAGTCCTCTTCACTCTGGAGCTGCGTCATCCCTGCGTTGTTGGATCAGTTCCTCAGATTTTTTTTACATTGTCTTGTGTGACGTTAATTTTTGTTGTGTGTGTGAACGATTTGTTGAAGTCAAAGTCTGCGATACATGTTGACGTTACAGTTTTTATCTGGATGTCACTGCCTTGCCTGTCAGTCACTGCCTTGCCTGTCAGTCACTGCGTTGCCTGTCAGTCACTGCCTTACCTGTCAGTCACTGCCGTACCTGTCAGTCACAACTGGGGAGCTGTGACTGATAGGTTTTATCTACTGTATCATCCACTAGACATCTTTTATATGTTGCTTTATGATTAAAACTTTTTTGGGGGCCAAATTTGACTTTAAGGCAGTGGATGGAGGTGGCCACGACCCTCAGCTGTCATAGACCACGACCCTCAGCTGTCACAGACCACGACCCTCAGCTGTCACAGACCACGACCCTCAGCTGTTATAGACCACGACCCTCAGCTGTCACAGACCACGACCCTCAGCTGTCATAGACCACGACCCTCAGCTGTCATAGACCACGACCCTCAACTGTCATAGACCACGACCCTCAGCTGTCATAGACCACGACCCTCAACTGTCATAGACCACGACCCTCAGCTGTCATAGACCACGACCCTCAGCTGTCATAGACCACGACCCTCAGCTGTCATAGACCACGACCCTCAGCTGTCACAGACCACGACCCTCAGCTGTCATAGACCACGACCCTCAGCTGTCATAGACCACGACCCTCAACTGTCATAGACCACGACCCTCAGCTGTCATAGACCACGACCCTCAACTGTCATAGACCACGACCCTCAGCTGTCATAGACCACGACCCTCAGCTGTCATAGACCACGACCCTCAGCTGTCATAGACCACGACCCTCAGCTGTCATAGACCACGACCCTCAGCTGTCATAGACCACGACCCTCAGCTGTCATAGACCACGACCCTCAACTGTCATAGACCACGACCCTCAGCTGTCATAGACCACGACCCTCAGCTGTCATAGACCACGACCCTCAGCTGTCATAGACCACGACCCTCAGCTGTCATAGACCACGACCCTCAGCTGTCATAGACCACGACCCTCAGCTGTCATAGACCACGACCCTCAACTGTCATAGACCACGACCCTCAGCTGTCATAGACCACGACCCTCAACTGTCATAGACCACGACCCTCAACTGTCATAGACCACGACCCTCAACTGTCATAGACCACGACCCTCAGCTGTCATAGACCACGACCCTCAGCTGTCATAGACCACGACCCTCAGCTGTCATAGACCACGACCCTCAGCTGTCATAGACCACGACCCTCAGCTGTCATAGACCACGACCCTCAGCTGTCATAGACCACGACCCTCAGCTGTCATAGACCACGACCCTCAACTGTCATAGACCACGACCCTCAGCTGTCATAGACCACGACCCTCAGCTGTCATAGACCACGACCCTCAACTGTCATAGACCACGACCCTCAGCTGTCATAGACCACGACCCTCAGCTGTCATAGACCACGACCCTCAGCTGTCATAGACCACGACCCTCAACTGTCATAGACCACGACCCTCAGCTGTCATAGACCACGACCCTCAACTGTCATAGACCACGACCCTCAGCTGTCATAGACCACGACCCTCAGCTGTCATAGACCACGACCCTCAGTTGTCATAGACCACGACCCTCAGCTGTCATAGACCACGACCTCCCCCCCCCCCCACCTGTAATGGACCACGACCCTTCGACAAAAAATAATCCCAAGGTTTAAAGGTTAAAAAGTCATGGCAAAATATTTAGTTCATTTCTAAACATTTCAATTTTTGTTTTGTTTTTGTGACATTTTAAAATGGAGGACAAAATGTCTCCATTTTCTACGAGTGTTCGAGTCGCTTGCAATTTAAATGTGTGTGTGTCTGACACGCCCACACTGTCAGTCAAGACTTTCACCCTTCTTAACCCAGAAGGAAGTGCAGTGTGGGCAAGTGGCTCAATATTTTAGAAAGTGTGCGTTCGCTGGGGTCACGTTCGCAGGGGTCACGTTCGCTGGGGTCACGTTCATAGGGGTCACGTTCCCAGGGGTCACGTTCACAAGTAGGGTATTTCAAAACCAGATTTCTGATGCAAAAATTTTTTTTTTTAGAAAAAACATTTAACGGCTGAACATATATATATATATATATATATATATATATATATATATATATATATATATATATATATATATATATATATATATATATATATATATATATATATATATATATATATATATATATATATATATATATATATATATATATATATATGAACACGTTATACAGAACGGGGTGAGAATATCTTGAGCTGCTTCATTTCTTTGTGTGTATTTATACCTCAATAAACTTATTTTAAATTTTCAATTTCGCCGCGTGCAGGCTAATGCATTGAGGGAAAGCACGCCCGAAAGTCCATTCGAAAGTTCTCCCTCCATCTCTCTCTCTCTCTCTCTCTCTCTCTCTCTCTCTCTCTCTCTCTCTCTCTCTCTCTCTCTCTCTCTCTCTCTCTCTCTCTCTCTCTCTCTCTCTCTCTCTCTCTCTGAAACAACAGATGGTTTAGAGGAAGGAGACGAGAGAGTCACTAGAGACCTCAGCTTGGGTTACATCTCTGATGCTAACATTTACAAATACCACTAGACGACTTCTCTCGTTGCTCCCCCCCAGACGACGCCCACTTGAAACATCCACCGCAAAAGGCCAAGCACCAATTAACTGAAGAGATGATACACTTATAATCGCATTGCTTAAATAAGTTACACAGCTCTGAAGATAAACACTTGCTGAGCTGCTCTCAAGGCTAACAGAGGGGGCTATTGCGACTTAGCAACGGCGCCTAAACTCTCGCCTGTACACGCAACAAGATAAGAAAGTATTTATTTACCTGCCAGGGACGCGACGAGAACTATCCGGCCCTTGGAGTTGCGGAGGAGCGGCAGGAAGGTCTTGGTGACCCTGATGGGCCCCAGGGAGTTGACCTCGTACACCCTCCGGAACTCTGACAGAGGGCACCACTCGATCTCCGTGAAGGCTGCGATCCCAGCGTTGTTGATCACTGCCCACAGACCTGTCCGGACGGGGCATGGAGCAGGGGCATTGATGATGAGTTGCTGTGGTTTGAGGTGGTGATGGTGATAGCATTGAGATTGATGGTGGGGTAGTGGAGGGGGCGGGGGTTGTGGAGACAGTAGGGGGTGGAGGCGATGATTGGAAGGAGGTAAGGGTCATTACAGTGTAAGGTGAATTTTCAGGGGAAAACGCCAAATCATTAATATATAGCACTGGAAAGGGGATCAGGATATAAAGATTTGAGATGGGACGGGGGAAAGGAATGGTGCCTAATCACTTTGGTGGATGGTCAAGGGGATTGAACGTCGACCTGCAGGAAGCCAGACCGTCGCTCTACCGTCCAGCCCAAGTGGTTAGACCCATCGTAGTGTAAGTAATTATAAAGACCAAACACCGAATGGTCGAATTTCTTCCATACAACAAACAAGCCAGATTAACACAGGATCAGACCCCAGTCACCCACAGCTGTTGACCCACAGTCATCCCCACAGCTGTTGACCCACAGTCACCCACAGCTGTTGACCCACAGTCACCCACAGCTGTTGACCCCAATCACCCACAGCTATTGATCCTAGCACTAAGCAGGTCAGTGGGAAGACGACCCAGATTAATCAGGTAGAACATGCAGTCTGCCGCCTCCGTAGCCTGGCCGTCGCCATGATAGCATAATGATGACCAGGCTGGGATAGCGTGATATAATGTGCACGATCAATTGCATGACTGAACCTCTATTGCAGTGCAACGCCTTCATACGTGCAGTTGCGAGGGGCGTAATGTTTACAATGAAGGAAGAGGGAGTTACTCGCTCCATCAGTGTCCATCATGATAACTCTGTCTCCAGCACGCAAGAGGCTTTTGGGTTATATTTGTGCTGTTTCGTTATCTTGTGTTGTCTCTCTCTCTCTCTCTCTCTTGTTATCTCTTTTCCTGTCTCTTTTTGTTTTTATCTTGTCTGTTTGTAATCTTCACTTGTATATTTTTTTTCCCAAAACATCCTCACACACACACACACTCATACACTGTACTCATCAACACACCTTCACACTGTACTCATCAACACACCTTCACACTGTACTCATCAACACACCTTCACACTGTACTCATCAACACACCTTCACACTGTACTCATCAACACCCTCACACTGTACTCATCAACACACCTTCACACTGTACTCATCAACACCTTCACACTGTACTCATCAACACACACCCACACACTGTACTCATCAATACCCTCACACACTATACTCATCAACACACACTGTACTCATCACACCCTCACACACCGTACTCATCAACACACCCTCACACGCTGTACTCAACACACACACACACACTGTACTCATCAACACACCTTCACACTGTACTCAACACCCTCACACACTGTACTCATCAACACACACCCACACTGTACTCATCAACACACACTGTACTCATCAACACACCCTCACACACTGTACTCATCAACACACCCTCACACACTGTACTCATCAACACACCCTCACACACTGTACTCATCAACACACCCTCACACACTGTACTCATCAACACACACACCGTACCCAACCAACATTCCCACACTCCTCACGTCAACAACAATCCCACCCTCATGAATGACTCATGAGGCAACCAAACACCGGTTCAGCCTGCTCCCCCTCTCTCTCCCCTCTCTCTCCCCTCTCTCTCCCCTCTCACATCCGTCACGTTGTATCTGTCAGGAATGTGTCTCTCTCTCTCTCTCCACGCTCAGATCTATCACGTTGTGTCCGTCTGGAATGTCTCTCTCTCTCTCTCTCTCTCTCTCTCTCTCTCTCTCTCTCTCTCTCTCTCTCTCTCTCTCTCTCTCTCTCTCTCTCTCTCTCTCTCTCTCTCTCTCTCTCTCTCTCTCTCTCACACCTACCCAGGTCCTCTCCCATGTCATGCTCGATGGTCTTGTAGGCTGCTCTCACCTCGTCGTCCTTCGTAACGTCGAGACTGAGCACCTTGAGCTTGTCTGAGGCCTCCTGCTGCAGGGAGAGCGCCCCTGGCCCGTTGGGCAGCAGGCAACCCGCGTATACCTGCAGGAGGCCAGGCAGGGTAATGAGTGGGGGTGGGTGTGGGTGAGGAGTGGGTGTGTGATGCGTGGGTGTGTGTGAGTATGGGTGGGTGGAGAGGAGTAGGTGGATTATTACAATGTATCTATGCTAATATTCTTCAAATTTTGCTACAATTTATCTACTTAAAAATTATCTTTTAATATTAAGAACCTGCCTGTAACGCTGTATCAGAATGTTCTATAATATGTTTATTGTTTGTGATGTGAGTCTAAGTATATATATATATATATATATATATATATATATATATATATATATATATATATATATATATATATATATGTATATATATACATATAATATATATATAATATATATATATATATATATATATATATATATATATATATATATATATATATATATATGCGAACAAGCTTGAATGGTCCCAAAGCCAAAATGCAACTGAAAACTCCACACCCCAGAAGAATTCGAACCCAGACAGCCAGGAGCACTATGCACCACAGCGTACCCGATACCTTAACCACTCGACCTACCGTGACTGTACAAAAGTCAATGGGAGCCGAGGTTATATCCCCAACTACCCGACAGCACTCGGTGAAAAGCTTGGGCATATTATTATTTCATCGAATCACCACGTGGCTCCACGTGTTGCATATATGCCTGGAGACCGTACAAACTTGTTCGCATTTGTGTTGCTCACGTGGCCCCACAAAGTGAGGTGATTTAATGAAATAACTATGCCCAAGTTTACCACCAAGTGCCATCGGGGCGTTGGGAATATAGCCTCGGCTACCAATGACTTTTGTACAGTCACGGTTGGTCGAGTGGTTAAGGTACCGGGTACGCCATGGTGCATAATGCTCCTGGCTGTCTGGGTTCGAATCCTTCTGGGGGTGTGGAGTTTTCAGTTTATATATATAATATATATATTAATATAAATTAATAATCCCCATTAGTAGGTATATACATACCTTAAAGCCCATCTTGTCAAGCCTGGCGGCGAGGAGTCGACCAAAGCCGCTGTCACAACCTGTTGAGTAAGACGGGAAACTTCTCAGAACTGAACACATAACACAGCTACTGCCATGGGAGCTAGAGGTGCCAATAAGTAAATATTGCAGTCAGAGTTTTCTCTCTCGCTCAGTTACCATCAAGCACAACCCCCCCCCCCCTTTTTTGCATGAATACATACTCTCCTAATCACCTAGTTGTGCTCGCATAATTGAGCCTAGAGGGCTTGCTGGCGTTGTTCTGCTGATTTGTGTCTCTGCTGTCAGATTTGGAGTCATGTCTGCTCCTAAATCTCTTTTTCAGCAGTGGGAAGTTGATGACCTCAAATTCAGAACATTTGAAAGGTATTCTCATTTCTATTCCAATATAATCATGTCTCCCCCGAGCTCTTCTGTCTTCCAGCGACGTGAGGTCCAGTTACCTCAACCTTTCCTCGTAACTCATGCCTCTTAGTTCTGGGACTAGCCGAGTGGCATACCTCTGGACTTTTTTCCAGCTTCGTCTTGTGCTGAACAAGGTACGAGCTCCATGCTGGGGCCGCAAACTCCAGGATTGGTCTTACATATGTGGTAATACAAGGTTCTGAAAGATTCCTCACATAGGTTTCTGAAGGCAGTGTGTGTGTACTCACCTATTTGTACTCACCTATTTGTGCTTGCAGGATCGAGCATTGGCTCTTGGATCCCGCCTTTCCAGCCATCGATTTTTTACAGCAATGACTCCTGTCCCATTTCCCTATCATACTTAATTTTAAAATTATGAATAGAGTTTGCTTCCACAACCTGTTCCCCAAGTGCATTCCATTTTTCCACTACTCTCACGCTAAAAGAAAACTTTCTAACATCTCTGTGACTCATCTGAGTTTCCCGTTTCCACCCATGTCCCCTCGTTCTGTGTGTGTGTGTGTGTGTGTGTGTGTGTGTGTGTGTGTGTGTGTGAGTGTGTGTGTGTGTGTGTGTGTGAGGGTGGGTCGGTGTGAGTGTACTTGTACTGGCTTTGATGATAGGGCTTGAGTTTGTTTGCCTCGTTACTTTATTCTCTCGTGTATATTTATAAACATCAATACATATCTTGTGTGTGTGTATGGTGAGTTTCTTGAGGGAGGGTGGAGGGAGGAGGCAGGAAGACGGGATGTGAAACGTCTCACTACACTTCCTCATTGTGTCTTCCCTGGCCTTGAGGAACTCAGGAAGGAAGCTGAATTATCGTAAGCTGCTTGGTAGGGTACGCTGCCCTGTGTGTGCGTGTGTGTGTACTCGCCTAGTAACCTAGTATGTGTGTGTGTGCGTCGTCGAAAGAGTGAGAGTCCTGAGTACACGCACACACGCACACACACACACACACACACACACACACACACACACACACACACACACACACACACACACACACACACACACACACACACACACGCGCACACACACACACACACACACACACACACACACACACACACACACACACACACACACACACACACACACACACATACACGCGCACACACACACACACACACACACACACACACACACACACACACACACACACACACACACACACACACACACGAATCCCATGTAAATATGTAA